TTGGAATACTTATAATTCTGACCTACTTTTTGGAATACTTATAATTCTGACCTACTTTTTGGAATACTTATAATTCTGACCTACCTTTTGGAATACTTATAATTCTGACCTACTTTTTGGAATACTTATAATTCTTACCTGCTCACAGTTTTCTTTTATTCTTATCTAGTCACAGAAAAGTTTTCAATTCTTATCTTATCACACTTATCACAGGAAACATTCCTGACTTACTGACAGGAATGTCCTCAATTCTTATATGGTAACAGGAACTTTAGGAATGTCCTCAATTCTTATATGGTAACAGGAACTTTAGGAATGTCCTCAATTCTTATATGGTAACAGGAACTTTCTTTATTCTGATCTATCTACAAGAATGATCTTAATTTTGAACTACTGAAAGGAATCTTTTCAATTATGATTTAATCACAGAAACATCCTCAATTCTTATCTAGGACCAGGAATGTTTACAACTCTTATCGACTCACAAAAACATCCTCAATTCTTATCTAGGACCAGGAATGTTTACAACTCTTATCGACTCACAGAAACATCCTCAATTCTTATCTAGGACCAGGAATGTTTACAAACTCTTATCGACTCACAGAAACATCCTCAATTCTTATCTAGGACCAGGAATGTTTATAACACTTATTGACTCAAAGGACTGCTCTCAATTCTTATCTAGGACCAGGAATGTTTACAACTCTTATTGACTCAAAGGACTGCTCTCAATTCTTATCTAGGACCAGGAATAATTACAACTCTTATTGACTCAAAGGACTGCTCTCAATTCTTATCTAGGACCAGGAATGTTTATAACACTTATTGACTCAAAGGACTGCTCTCAATTCTTATCTAGGACCAGGAATGTTTACAACTCTTATTGACTCAAAGGACTGCTCTCAATTCTTATCTAGGACCAGGAATGTTTACAAACTCTTATCGACTCAAAGGACTGCTCTCAATTCTTATCTAGGACCAGGAATGTTTACAAACTCTTATCGACTCAAAGGACTGCTCTCAATTCTTATCTAGGACCAGGAATAATTACAACTCTTATTGACTCAAAGGACTGCTCTCAATTCTTATCTAGGACCAGGAATAATTACAACTCTTATTGACTCAAAGGACTGCTCTCAATTCTTATCTAGGACCAGGAATGTTTACAAACTCTTATCGACTCAAAGGACTGCTCTCAATTCTTATCTAGGACCACGAATAATTACAACTCTTATTGACTCAAAGGACTGCTCTCAATTCTTATCTAGGACCAGAAATAATTACAACTCTTATTGACTCAAAAGACTGCTCTCAATTCTTATCTAGGACCAGGAATGTTTACAACTCTTATTGACTCAAAGGACTGCTCTCAATTCTTATCTAGGACCAGGAATAATTACAACTCTTATTGACTCAAAGGACTGCTCTCAATTCTTATCTAGGACCAGGAATGTTTACAAACTCTTATCGACTCAAAGGACTGCTCTCAATTCTTATCTAGGACCAGGAATAATTACAACTCTTATTGACTCAAAGGACTGCTCTCAATTCTTATCTAGGACCAGGAATAATTACAACTCTTATTGACTCAAAGGACTGCTCTCAATTCTTATCTAGGACCAGGAATGTTTACAACTCTTATTGACTCAAAGGACTGCTCTCAATTCTTATCTAGGACCAGGAATAATTACAACTCTTATTGACTCAAAGGACTGCTCTCAATTCTTATCTAGGACCAGGAATAATTACAACTCTTATTGACTCAAAGGACTGCTCTCAATTCTTATCTAGGACCAGGAATAATTACAACTCTTATTGACTCAAAGGACTGCTCTCAATTCTTATCTAGGACCAGGAATGTTTACAAACTCTTATCGACTCAAAGGACTGCTCTCAATTCTTATCTAGGACCAGGAATAATTACAACTCTTATTGACTCAAAGGACTGCTCTCAATTCTTATCTAGGACCAGGAATAATTACAACTCTTATTGACTCAAAGGACTGCTCTCAATTCTTATCTAGGACCAGGAATGTTTACAAACTCTTATCGACTCAAAGGACTGCTCTCAATTCTTATCTAGGACCAGGAATAATTACAACTCTTATTGACTCAAAGGACTGCTCTCAATTCTTATCTAGGACCAGGAATAATTACAACTCTTATTGACTCAAAAGACTGCTCTCAATTCTTATCTAGGACCAGGAATGTTTACAACTCTTATTGACTCAAAGGACTGCTCTCAATTCTTATCTTTGACCAGGAATGTTTACAAACTCTTATCGACTCAAAGGACTGCTCTCAATTCTTATCTAGGACCAGGAATAATTACAACTCTTATTGACTCAAAGGACTGCTCTCAATTCTTATCTAGGACCAGGAATGTTTACAACTCTTATTGACTCAAAGGACTGCTCTCAATTCTTATCTAGGACCAGGAATAATTACAACTCTTATTGACTCAAAGGACTGCTCTCAATTCTTATCTAGGACCAGGAATAATTACAACTCTTATTGACTCAAAGGACTGCTCTCAATTCTTATCTAGGACCAGGAATAATTACAACTCTTATTGACTCAAAGGACTGCTCTCAATTCTTATCTAGGACCAGGAATGTTTACAAACTCTTATCGACTCAAAGGACTGCTCTCAATTCTTATCTAGGACCAGGAATAATTACAACTCTTATTGACTCAAAGGACTGCTCTCAATTCTTATCTAGGACCAGGAATAATTACAACTCTTATTGACTCAAAGGACTGCTCTCAATTCTTATCTAGGACCAGGAATGTTTACAAACTCTTATTGACTCAAAGGACTGCTCTCAATTCTTATCTAGGACCAGGAATAATTACAACTCTTATTGACTCAAAGGACTGCTCTCAATTCTTATCTAGGACCAGGAATAATTACAACTCTTATTGACTCAAAAGACTGCTCTCAATTCTTATCTAGGACCAGGAATGTTTACAACTCTTATTGACTCAAAGGACTGCTCTCAATTCTTATCTTTGACCAGGAATGTTTACAAACTCTTATCGACTCAAAGGACTGCTCTCAATTCTTATCTAGGACCAGGAATAATTACAACTCTTATTGACTCAAAGGACTGCTCTCAATTCTTATCTAGGACCAGGAATGTTTACAACTCTTATTGACTCAAAGGACTGCTCTCAATTCTTATCTAGGACCAGGAATAATTACAACTCTTATTGACTCAAAGGACTGCTCTCAATTCTTATCTAGGACCAGGAATAATTACAACTCTTATTGACTCAAAGGACTGCTCTCAATTCTTATCTAGGACCAGGAATAATTACAACTCTTATTGACTCAAAGGACTGCTCTCAATTCTTATCTAGGACCAGGAATGTTTACAAACTCTTATCGACTCAAAGGACTGCTCTCAATTCTTATCTAGGACCAGGAATAATTACAACTCTTATTGACTCAAAGGACTGCTCTCAATTCTTATCTAGGACCAGGAATAATTACAACTCTTATTGACTCAAAGGACTGCTCTCAATTCTTATCTAGGACCAGGAATGTTTACAAACTCTTATCGACTCAAAGGACTGCTCTCAATTCTTATCTAGGACCAGGAATAATTACAACTCTTATTGACTCAAAGGACTGCTCTCAATTCTTATCTAGGACCAGGAATAATTACAACTCTTATTGACTCAAAAGACTGCTCTCAATTCTTATCTAGGACCAGGAATGTTTACAACTCTTATTGACTCAAAGGACTGCTCTCAATTCTTATCTTTGACCAGGAATGTTTACAAACTCTTATCGACTCAAAGGACTGCTCTCAATTCTTATCTAGGACCAGGAATAATTACAACTCTTATTGACTCAAAGGACTGCTCTCAATTCTTATCTAGGACCAGGAATAATTACAACTCTTATTGACTCAAAGGACTGCTCTCAATTCTTATCTAGGACCAGGAATGTTTACAACTCTTATTGACTCAAAGGACTGCTCTCAATTCTTATCTAGGACCAGGAATGTTTACAACTCTTATTGACTCAAAGGACTGCTCTCAATTCTTATCTAGGACCAGGAATAATTACAACTCTTATTGACTCAAAGGACTGCTCTCAATTCTTATCTAGGACCAGGAATGTTTACAACTCTTATTGACTCAAAGGACTGCTCTCAATTCTTATCTAGGACCAGGAATGTTTACAACTCTTATTGACTCAAAGGACTGCTCTCAATTCTTATCTAGGACCAGGAATAATTACAACTCTTATTGACTCAAAGGACTGCTCTCAATTCTTATCTAGGACCAGGAATAATTACAACTCTTATTGACTCAAAGGACTGCTCTCAATTCTTATCTAGGACCAGGAATGTTTACAAACTCTTATCGACTCAAAGGACTGCTCTCAATTCTTATCTAGGACCAGGAATAATTACAACTCTTATTGACTCAAAGGACTGCTCTCAATTCTTATCTAGGACCAGGAATAATTACAACTCTTATTGACTCAAAGGACTGCTCTCAATTCTTATCTAGGACCAGGAATGTTTACAAACTCTTATTGACTCAAAGGACTGCTCTCAATTCTTATCTAGGACCAGGAATAATAACAACTCTTATTGACTCAAAGGACTGCTCTCAATTCTTGTCTTTGACCAGGAACGTTTACAACTCTTATTGACTCAAAGGAATGCTCTCAATTCTTATCTTGTCAAAGGAATGTCATTCTCATCTTGTCACATAATGATCATTAATAATAACTTTTTTACAAGTGCTTCCCCAATTCTTACATAGTCTAAAGTATGGCCTCGCCTTTGATCTGGTTTACAAATGTACCTCCTTTTGACATGTATTCTGTTAATGTTTTCCTGAATATAAGTTGTCATTGACGGTATCTGTAGGAATTCACAGAACTTGTACTTTTTGTGTTTTATTGGTTGTAGTTGTGTATCTAACATGAAAAGGTATGATAATATGAATACATCATTAAAATATAGAAGCAGACTTACATTAGCATGGAAATGTACTTGTGCAGTTTGGGGCCGTACTCGGTCAGGGTCTTTTTTGGCTGTAAAGAAAAATTAACAAATATGAACCATCTGACTGTGAACTAACATTACCAATTAAATCTGAAAAGACTGTTACACTGATGAATACCAGCAGTGTTAGATGTTAATTTTCTTGTTTAAAGCACCATTCACATGCAAAAAAATATATTGTATCCTGAATTTATTTTCCAAACTCTACAAAACAATATGGAAGTAGAAACAATATCACGGTCCAATCTCAGGAAACTGTTTTGAAGTGAACTTGATCTCTCATCATTGTATTAGTTATCAAAATAGCATTCAGTGAAACATCCTCGAAATTAACAACATTCAAACCAATACTACAGAAGCGCTTTAAGCTTAGGCCTTGGTAACGGTGGTACACGTACCTTCTGGTGTATCTCTGCGTGTGACAGAGGAGTAGGGGCGAATTATCTTTTTCTCTTCCAACATGAGAACACCTCCATCTTTGACAGATCTCTTAGATCTGCTCATCCTTCTGACAGCCCCATGGTAGACCTCTATCTCCTCCTCCTCAGGATCAGAGTCCAGGGCCTTCATGTATTTTTCAATGTCCTCCTCTGTTATTTCTGGCATTGGCGATTCTTGTACTGCAGGGACAGAAACAAAATTTTTAAAATTTATCTCATTTTTTCAATACATACAAATATACTGGGATAGAAATATTTGTTATCCTACCTCTTCTCATTATTTTCATACAAATATATTGGGACACAAACAATTGTGATCTCATCTGCAAAGATGTTGTAAATATCATTTATATCACTGTCATCATTAATTTTACTTGAAATAAATGATTCAGGAAATTTGATGCACAAAATCAATATTAAACCATTATGAAATTCTCTAGTTCTCTAAAACAGTTATCTTAATATTGAAATTTCCAAAATTATAAGCCCAGTGTGATTTTTTTTCTCACACTTCAATGCCTTGATGTTTCTCATCTGAATTCTATATGAAAGATCAATATATTCTGAGGTGTAAACAATCAAAGATCCAAAATTCACAATTCATATCAAAGGCATATATCATTACACATATATGAGCTTATCTGGATTTAACCCGCAAGCTATACAAAGGGGAATAACTCATTTACTGTTTCTGAACAGCATAATAACTATTTTAGGGAAAAAGAGAGATTGCACATTTTAAAGTTATTACAAAGTTTATTTTTATGGTGCCCTTGCACATAAAAAGTCAGCTTATACTATATCTGAAAGAAATAAGTTGATCATCGGAACATCTGTAATACAATAAACAAATATACAAGGAAGGTACATGAATCTATCTGACTGTATTTAAAAGCAACACAACATTGTATATTTTTCTCTGCAATAAATAAATACAAGGAAGTGAATTCATAAAATTAGTACTTTTGAAGATTTTCTGAAATATCAAGCATGTACAATGATTAGAATACTTTTCAAACAAAGCCCACACTGAAACCACATAGCTTATGTCACAGGTAAAAAAATGGTTATTTACATTCAAAGTTTAAATAGCTCAAAATCATAAATAAAATTTAAATATGTACAGACAAGGAAATTTTTCAAAAAATCTTGAAATATATGTTGATTGTATCAAGCCTGTTATTTTCTGATGAAGATTTAAATCCACCAGAGTATATGCTCATTTGGGAAACAAAGTTGATCATTTCTATTTATGAATTAAATAAATCAGTGCTGGTCATTTAGCTAAAGTATTCAACCTTATCATAATATAATTCTGACTTCTCTTGACACTTATCGTTTTTAACGTATCTACTCTCTGTTTGAGAAATCTTAAAATCATCTGCTGTGAAAAAATAATACATTATATTTTGTTATGTTGTACCAACAATTATTGTCCAAATGTAATGGGTGACAGCAGAAAGTAATAATAATGGGTGATGTCAGAAACGAGTAATAATTGGTGAGAACACAAATGAATAAGATATTTTGGTGAATTACATTCACACCACCCCCTCCCCCATCCCCCACCCCCCCACCCCCCCCCCCCCCCCCCCCCCCCCCCTGGACAAGTTTTTTATTTGATGCAGGTCAAAGATCAAATTATAGATCAAAATGACATACTTCTGATACATAAGATGTGCCTTACTGTGGTAAACCCATATCCCAGGTATAAAATTGCCATTATTACTTGTGCAGAAGACAGGGCACAAACTAATGATAGTTGGTGAGAACACAAGCTAATGATAATTGGTGAGGACACAAACTAATGAGAATTGGTGTGAACACAAACTAATGATAATTGGTGAGAACACAAACTAATGATAATTGGTGAGGACACAAACTAATGATAATTGGTGAGAACACAAACTAATGAGAATTGGTGAGAACACAAACTAATGAGAATTGGTGAGGACACAAACTAATGAGAATTGGTGAGGACACAAACCAATGATAATTGGTGAGGACACAAACTAATGATAATTGGTGAGAACACAAACTAATGAGAATTGGTGAGAACACAAACTAATGATAATTGGTGAGAACACAAACTAATGAGAATTGGTGAGGACAAACTAATGATAATTGGTGAGAACACAAACTGATGATAATTGGTGAGAACACAAACTGATGATAATTGGTGAGAACACAAACTGATGATAATTGGTGAGAACACAAACTGATGATAATTGGTGAGAACACAAACTAATGAGAATTGGTGAGGACACAAACTAATGAGAATTGGTGAGGACACAAACTAATGATAATTGGTGAGGACACAAACTAATGATAATTGGTGAGAACACAAACTGATGATAATTGGTGAGAACACAAACTAATGATAATTGGTGAGAACACAAACTAATGAGAATTGGTGAGAACACAAACTAATGATAATTGGTGAGGACACAAACTAATGATAATTGGTGAGAACACAAACTAATGAGAATTGGTGAGAACACAAACTAATGAGAATTGGTGAGGACACAAAAACTAATAATGAGAATTGGTGAGAACACAAACTAATGATAATTGGTGAGAACACAAACTAATGAGAATTGGTGAGGACAAACAAAAACTGATGATAATTGGTGAGAACACAAACTGATGATAATTGGTGAGAACACAAACTGATGATAATTGGTGAGAACACAAACTGATGATAATTGGTGAGAACACAAACTGATGATAATTGGTGAGAACACAAACTGATGATAATTGGTGAGAACACAAACTAATGAGAATTGGTGAGAACACAAACTGATGATAATTGGTGAGAACACAAACTGATGATAATTGGTGAGAACACAAACTAATGAGAATTGGTGAGAACACAAACTAATGAGAATTGGTGAGAACACAAACTAATGAGAATTGGTGAGAACACAAACTAATGAGAATTGGTGAGAACACAAACTAATGAGAATTGGTGAGAACACAAACTAATGAGAATTGGTGAGGACACAAACTAATGATAATTGGTGAGAACACAAACTAATGAGAATTGGTGAGAACACAAACTAATGAGAATTGGTGAGGACACAAACTAATGAGAATTGGTGAGGACACAAACTAATGATAATTGGTGAGGACACAAACTAATGATAATTGGTGAGGACACAAACTAATGATAATTGGTGAGAACACAAACTAATGAGAATTGGTGAGGACACAAACTAATGATAATTGGTGAGGACACAAACTAATGAGAATTGGTGAGGACACAAACTAATGAGAATTGGTGAGAACACAAACTAATGATAATTGGTGAGGACACAAACTAATGATAATTGTTGATAGCACAAACCAATAATAAATGATTTACTGCAGAAAATGATAAAATGGGTAAAAGCAGATTATATTGGATTATATAATATAATATATATATTATATAATAATAGGTTATATCAGAAGCTTAAGCAAATAATATGTAAAGAAAGACAGAGCTATCTGATTAGGATATAATGTTACAGGTCAGGGTATAATGTTAGTACAGCTCAGGGTATACAGAATTTAACACAGTACATGAGTACATATCAGCTACTGTAAGGTTACAGGTGTTAGGTTTTAGGAGGGTAAGCATTCAACCAAGACAAGGTAAGAATTACGTGTGTGAGGATCTTGTGGTGCATCATTTTCCCGCGGCAGGATAATTTTGATTGGCTTGGAGCTTGATTTGCGCTGTTCGGATAACCTTTTGAGGGTGCCCTGTGGAGCGGGCGCCACAGACTTGGGCATGACCTCGCTCCTTTCCCATCGTCGCTGCACAGCCGTCTCTACATCAGGTGAGAGGTTCTCTTGGTCTCTCTCTTCCTCTGCTGATTTTTGTTGAAGTCCTACATATCAGTGATTACTATTATAGGGACCAATAGAGAGTGATTTTGCATCACCTTCATACATATGTACATGTTGCAGTACAGGGAACTGACATTCAACAAAGTGAGGTGATACAGAAATACAGCTAAATCACACATCCAACATGCAAGTGAGATTGATAAAATGACTTTTGTCTGAGGACATGACATGCATTGAAAAAATCCCCTTGTATAGAGATTATGACACAGTGACTATTGCTATGCTTGGATACATACACTACTGTCAGTCTTAGAGGCTATTTCATGCAGTGACGTCTATTGTTTATGATAACCTGAGTCAATTTCATGCTCTGCTATCAAATGTTTTTGTCATACTCTGTTATATAATCCTTGTAAATAAAATTAATGTCAAAGCATTGCTTTAAGCCTATTTTATATGGTTATCAACATCCACTGTACTTGTGAAACATTCCTAAGTGTGGCCTGCTTTAAGCCTATTTTATATGGTTATCAACATCCACTGTACGTGTGAAACATTCCTAAGTGTGGCCTGATCTGATACACATATCATTTTAGACTAACCTAAGAGGACATGGCTGTACTTGTACCTCATCATAGAATTGTACTAATAAACAAAACACATTCTGATGTCCTGATACCTTTCTTTCTATTATGATCACGGGTCATGTGAATACTTCATGAGGATCAAGTGATACAAAAATAATACCTTTATTATCTGGCTTTTCTACATCTTTAGTAGGTGATGGAGGCTTCGGCTGAAACACCAGAATAAATTAACTATTAATATGATGTGTGATATGTCAACAACAACATAGACGTATCTTAATCTCAGGAATTACACCTTACTATGTGTCTTTTCATTCTTTAATATGGTATCGTATGGTAATTCTTTTGATAATATGCAAAATGCACCTAAAAAATCACAATAGATATGTTGTTAGTGGCTTTTAAGTATCCATGCATTGTAAAACATGACATAGAAAATCTGTAAATTCTCAAAATTAACTCAAATTGGATATTTTTACCCCAAATATATTACTCTTCCCAAGGAGAGAAAGGACAAGAGGCCCATAGGGTATGTATTGCTCACCAAGTTTTGCTTGGCTGAAATTGCTTCAACAAAACTAAAAGATAAGAAATTTTTAATATCCAAGTAAACAACACATGACATATCTATTTTCCCATTGTGCCACATTGTGTCATAAGCAAAGCCATCATGCTTTAAAACAAATTGACACAGAATCCTCACATTCCTACAGGAGGAGTAGAATTTAAAGAATGTGCTTTATTTCCCCTATATGGACTTGCCCCTCTTGGCCCCAGGGGGCCAAGACTTATCATTCATACAGAATTGATTCCCAATCGCATAAGAATGCTTCTGACTAAATTTTTACAAAATCCAATCATTCCTACAGGAGGAGTAGGATTTTAAAGAATTTGCTCTATTTTCCCTATTGGGTCCTGCCCAGTTGGCCCTAAGGGGCTGAGACCCACCATGCCCATTGATACAAAATTTTCTCCCCTTCCCCAAAGGATGCTTCTGACCAACTTTGGTAAAAATCTACTCTTTCATAACCAGTAGCAATCTGTAGAAAAATGAAAACAGATGATGGATGGACAACAGAGGATCACAGTATGGCATAAACTCACTGGTCCTTCAGACCAGGTGAAAACAGATATTTTACATTTCTTATTTCAATATAACAATAACTAAATCTGAAGTAAACAGAACAAGCCATGAAGACTTCATAGTTATTTCAACCAGAACCACACCAAAAACAAGACATATTTATGAAACACTATGACCCTGGTTCTCAACAAAATTCTGAAGTGGGACATTAAAACTTTGTGGTCTGAGGCATGTGCTAATTGCATGACACTTTGTGTCTTCGTGTCATTTCTTTATGTCTTGTCACAAGGAACACACATGGCAAATACGAAATCCTACCTCTTACAGTGCAATAGTTATGGGCAATATAAAAGTTGACAACAGGCAAACAAACAGACAGACAATTAAACAGCACAAAAACAATATGCCCACGATCTTTTGATCAAGGGGAATGAAACCCAATACATTCATGTAAACTATCTGAAGGGTCCATACTACAATATATCTTTATTCAAGGCTTGATTGAAACAGGTTTATACTAAATCAGAACCTGGGCTACATGTAAATGCAAAACTTCCAGCTTCTCAGCATCCTCTATATCAGAGCTATTGGACAGTAAAATTAAGAAGATATTTAGTAAATAATATATGTTCCAAGGGGTGTCCACTATGTGATGTAACTGTCAATTATGTTTGATTAAAGTTGGAAATTCAAAACTCTTAAGTGAAAGTTTGACAACATTACACCACCATTGCTGCCAAAAATAACACCATTGTCTTGCTTCAGTGACTTTTCATCACAGGTAATACAATCAACCATTCAATGATTGCTGAATGCAGTTTCAGGTTGATTTGAATGAGAACTGAACAGATTTTTTACAGACACTAGTTATGCTACAAGTTCTATGTTCACGGAGAGCATCAAAGAAAAGTAAAGTTAAATTGAAGACAAACTAATGAAGTCAAACTAGTGATTGTATCTTGAAAATCCTCAAAATTCATGCTACAACAAAAATTATCACAATTCAAGCAAAAATCTAAGTATTCAACCAAAGCTGTAGCAGATTTCTACATGTAGCCCTCTAAAACTGGGCAATAACCAGTAGCTTAATAGCAGATGAGACACTAAAATAACTGCAGGAAGCAAATTGACTAATCACATAAGACTTCAAAAACAGGTATTAAATTGGTTGAAAAATAAATTCAGATACTCATGTTGGCTTTTTCTAACAGCAGTTCCTGCAAATTTACTCATATTATTGAAATGTTATTAAAAATGTTTCAGATCCTAAATCTGCAGTACATAAATGATAGATACACAAATGGTACATATCGTTATGATATAACTGTACATTTTCTCTCAACATAAAATTCTTCCTACCTCTGGAGGTTTAAATTGTTGTGGTGTAGGCAAATCTAGCATATTAAGCTGCATCGGAGTTTCCTCCCTTTTGTCCTGTGCTGTTGTTGCTGTTGTCTCTGTACTGGAAGGTGGCTGTTCTAAAGGTTTCACTGGAGGAGGCCCTGGGCGATTTACAATTGGCTTGATGGGTCTTGGTGGTTCCATGGGCTTGCGTGCAGGTGGGAGGTCAAGCTTGGTGCCCATTAAGCCTACTTGTTTGGGACCCTGAGGTTCCGGGTCCCACATCATGTCCTGGAAGTTGTCAATGTCCTCCTGTTGGAACATGACCATCGGGTAGCTGCTTTCATTGGCATCGTCCTTCTTTTGGTCAGGTGCCCTGGGCTGGAGACATACACAGCAATCAAAGCCAAACATAAGCTTGCACTGTGGCACTACTATAACATCCTACCTGTAACCTGGTCACACTATAACATCCTACCTGTAACCTGGTCACACACTATAACATCCTACCTGTAACATGGTCACACACTATAGCATCCTACCTGTAACCTGGTCACACACTATAACATCCTACCTGTAACCTGGTCACACACTATAACATCCTACCTGTAACCTGGTCCCACACACTATAACATCCTACCTGTAACCTGGTCCCACACACTATAACATCCTACCTGTAACCTGGTCACACACTATAACATCCTACCTGTAACCTGGTCCCACACACTATAACGTCCTACCTGTATTCTGGTCACACACTATATCATCCTACCTGTAACCTGTTTACACACACAATAACATCCTACCTGTAACCTGGTCCCACACACTATAACATCCTACCTGTAACCTGGTCACACATAATATGTTACCTGTACTCTGGTCACACACCTTACTTTGTAACCTGTAGGTAACTCGTACTCAGAATAATCATTACTCATCTAGTAAACAACAGGTAACTTATACTCAAAACAGAAATGCCTTACACTGTATCCAGCAGACAATTCATACTCAGCACAACCAGGACTCACCTGATAAACAGCAGGTAAGTTATACTCAACACAAAATTGACTTACACTGTAACCAGCGGACAATATATACTCAGCACAACCAGGACTCACCTGATAAACAACAGGTAACTTATACTCAAAACAGAAATGCCTTACACTGTATCCAGCAGACAATTCATACTCAGCACAACCAGGACTCACCTGATAAACAGCAGGTAAGTTATACTCAACACAAAATTGACTTACACTGTAACCAGCGGACAATTCATACTCAGCACAACCAGGACTCACCTAGTAAACAGCAGGTAACTTATATTCAAAACACAAATGACTTCCATTGTAACCAGAAGACAATTCATACTCAGGACAACCAGGACTCACCTGGTAAACAGCAGGTAACTTGTACTCTACAAAAACATGACTCACCTTGTAAGAAGCAGGTAACACAACACAACTTTGCCTAACTTAGAAAACCAGCAAGTAACACACATTCAATACAATTTGGCCTCACCTAGTTACCAGCAGGTAACTTAAACTCAACACAAACTTCACTCACTTTGTAACCAGCAGGTAAGTCATATTTCTTCTTCTGCATCTCTTGTTGAAGTCTCTGTTGTTCTATAAGCTCCTGTCGTGTCAACTTCTGCCCTTTTTTTGGATGTTTCCTGTCCTTCATCATCTGCTTTTTCCTCATCTCCCTCTCCTGCTGCTGCAATCGTTTCAACTCCTCCTCCTTCAAATTTCAACATAAACAATATCAACACTGTAACTTTCAAAATTCCCTCATTTTATCTACCTCAAATATTCCTGAAAATGTGACTCTATGCCTTTGTTATATATATTTACCGTTAGAGTTGAGTGGGAGTGGTCAGACTCCCGCCTAGAAGGGGAAGGAGAAGGAAATCGTCTTGGTAATCGTTTAGACTGTGGCCTCATAAGACCCTTGACATCCACCCTGGCATTGGCGAGGCTGTATTTGCTGCGACGCCTTGGTATCTCCTCTTCTTCTTCCTCATACTGGTGCTGGGGCCTGGGACGTTTGTCTTCCACTGGGGTAAAAGTTTCTACAAAAGGTATAATAACAACAAAGCTTAGTCAAACATGATAAACATCTGTATATAAAATGGAACACATTGGAATATAACGCATGTACACTGTGTCTATAGTAATTAAGATATTATCATATTCTGAAGCTATAGAATTGAAGCATTAATTAGTAATGATATATAATACATTGTAGTACATCTCAAATACACTTTGTGTTATGTGGCACATTAAGGTTTTATGATAGCCTTGTTGTGTCTGTCATAAGTCATTATATTTGTTGATATTTCTGATCAAACTACAATACATGTGGGCTTTATTACCAGACATTTAGGCTGTAATTACCAAATAAAATATGACAAGCTTATAGGAAGCTGTTGCCAAGTATCATGTCGGAATCAACTGTCCCACAGACAGACAAAAACTTTAAATTTTTTTTAACTTTGGATCAATAACATCAGTTAGAACTTTAAGAGTATAGAAACACTGACATCATCATACTTACCATCCTCTATATTTAGATTTGTAATATGACAGTACAGTAAAAAAAAAATTGAACTGTTTCAAGGCTTTGATTTTATTTCAGCAAATACCCTTATTAATTACTTATTACAAATGACTTTGTCGACATACACTGATCAGTGGTGCATCTCTTTATGTCATCTATATTTTTGAGAAATGAAAGATTTCTGCTGAAAATGAAACTGAACATAATCAGGATAAAAACTTAGGGAACAGATTCATTTAATACTGCTCAGGAACATTGTACTACTGTAATAAAATCCATTTAAATACAACACAGCGTGCTACAAACTTACAACAAAAAGCAAATACTGATTGTATAATTTTAATACAAAAATAGGATAACAGAATATCAAAAGAAACTCCCATTACCGTACCCGAGAGTAGACAACAGAAACATAGATTTACACAGCTACCACCCAAGGAAAGTAGGTACACTGACCTAGATTTACACAGCTACCACCCAAGGAAAGCAGGTACACTGACCTAGATTTACACATTTCATCTACCACACTATAGAGTATAGACAACAGAAACCTAGATTTACACAGCTACCACCCAAGGAAAGTAGGTACACTGACCTAGATTTACACAGCTACCACCCAAGGAAAGCAGGTACACTGACCTAGATTTACACATTTCATCTACCACACTATAGAGTATAGACAACAGAAACCTAGATTTACACAGCTACCACCCAAGGAAAGTAGGTACACTGACCTAGATTTACACAGCTACCACCCAAGGAAAGTAGGTACACTGACCTAGATTTACACAGCTACCACCCAAGGAAAGCAGGTACACTGACCTAGATTTACACATTTCATCTACCACACTATAGAGTATAGACAACAGAAACCTAGATTTACACAGCTACCACCCAAGGAAAGTAGGTACACTGACCTAGATTTACACAGCTACCACCCAAGGAAAGTAGGTACACTGACCTAGATTTACACAGCTACCACCCAAGAAAAGTAGGTACACTGACCCAGATTTATACATTTCATCTACCACACTATAGAGTATAGACAACAGAAACCTAGATTTACACAGCTACCACCCAAGGAAAGCAGGTACACTGACCTAGATTTACACAGCTACCACCCAAGGAAAGTAGGTACACTGACCTAGATTTACACAGCTACCACCAAAGGAAAGTAGGTACACTGACCTAGATTTACACAGCTACCACCCAAGGAAAGTATGTACACTGACCTAGATTTACACAGCTACCACCAAAGGAAAGTAGGTACACTGACCCAGATTTACACATTTCATATACCACACCAGGAAAGTAGGAACACTGACCTAGATTTACACATTTCATCTACCACACTAGAGAGAGTTGACAAAGAAACCTAGATTTACACATTTCATCTACCACACTAGAGAGTGTAGACACAGAAACCAAGATTTACACATTTCATATACCACACCAGGAAAGTAGGAACACTGACCTAGATTTACACATTTCATCTACCACACTAGAGAGAGTTGACAAAGAAACCTAGATTTACACATTTCATCTACCACACTAGAGAGTGTAGACACAGAAACCAAGATTTACACATTTCATCTACCACACTAGAGAATGTAGACACAGAAACCAAGATTTACACATTTCATCTACCACACTAGAGAGTGTAGACACAGAAACCTAGATTTATACATTTCATCTACCACACTAGAGAATGTAGACACAGAAACCAAGATTTACACATTTCATCTACCACACTAGAGAGTGTAGACACAGAAACCTAGATTTATACATTTCATCTACCACACTAGAGAGAGTTGACAAAGAAACCTAGATTTATACATTTCATCTACCACACTAGAGAATGTAGACACAAAAACCAAGATTTACACATTTCATCTACCACACTAAAGAGTGTAGACACAGAAACCTAGATTTACACATTTCATCTACCACACTATAGAGTGTAGACACAGAAGCCTAGATTTATACATTTCATCTACCACACTATAGAGTGTAGACACAGAAGCCTAGATTTATACATTTCATCTACCACACTATAGAGTGTAGACACAGAAACCTAGATTTACACATTTCATCTACCACACTATAGAGTGTAGACACAGAAGCCTAGATTTACACATTTCATCTACCACACTATAGAGTGTAGACACAGACACCTAGATTTACACATTTCATCTACCACACTATAGAGTGTAGACACAGAAGCCTAGATTTACACATTTCATCTACCACACTATAGAGTGTAGACACAGAAGCCTAGATTTACACATTTCATCTATCACACCAGATAAATAATAAATTATTTATTCTACAGAATGTGGTTCTGATAAGAAGTTAAGTATTAGACTGTAGTAAGACCATGTCAGTATACATGATGTACTTATGTATATATGTATGTAGTTACATGTTGGTAATTAAGGATAAGGAAGTTTATCAGCTCTAGGTAATTTACCTACTTCAACATTACATGACAAATAAGTTGAGAGTGAAGATCACATGCTTGATCTGTTGATATGAGATTTAGATCTGTCATCATTTTAATAATTGAGTTGAAAATTTATTGATTAATTAAACATTATATGATGGCCAATATACATTAGGTCACAAGTGTATTGAGTACAATGTATTACCAGGCAGTAATGTTAAGACTATGGAGCCCTGAGAATTAATCTACTTGGATTTTAAAATGGTCACATTAACTTTAATACGTAAAACATTTACTAAAATTGGAGTAGGGGTGGGGGTGGGTTGGCGAGGAGGGGTAGTAATGTCCTTGCTTGGGTTTTTCCCTGCTACAATTGATTTTGGATTATCAATAACAGCTGAAAGTTTTTATCAATATAATTTCAGGAAATATTTCTGATACTGACATTAACTATTTTGTACCATACAGGGTTGATTTTTATGGTCACCATAGTGACCAGTGAGGTCAATTTCTTCAGAAACGTGATGTTTAGAAAACTACTCACAGTTAACACAGTACAAGGTTTACAATACAGAGTTGATTCTTATGGTCACCATAGTGACCACCAAGGTCAATTTCTTCAGAAACGTGATGTTTAGATAACTACTCACAGTTAACACAGTACAAGGTTTACAATACAGAGTTGATTCTTATGGTCACCATAGTGACCACCAAGGTCAATTTCTTCAGAAACGTGATGTTTAGATAACTACTCACAGTTAACACAGTACAAGGTTTACAATACAGAGTTGATTCTTATGGTCACCATAGTGACCACCAAGGTCAATTTCTTCAGAAACGTGATGTTTAGATAACTACTCACAGTTAACACAGTACAAGGTTTACAATACAGAGTTGATGGTCACCATAGTGACCACCAAGGTCAATTTCTTCAGAAACGTGATGTTTAGATAACTACTCACAGTTAACACAGTACAAGGTTTACAATACAGAGTGTGGTCACCATAGTGACCACCAAGGTCAATTTCTTCAGAAACGTGATGTTTAGATAACTACTCACAGTTAACACAGTACAAGGTTTACAATACAGAGTTGATGCCTGTGGTCACCATAGTGACCACCAAGGTCAATTTCTTCAGAAACGTGATGTTTAGATAACTACTCACAGTTAACACAGTACAAGGTTTACAATACAGAGTTGATGCCTGTGGTCACCATAGTGACCAGCAAGGTCAACTTCTTCAGAAACGTGATGTTTAGATAACTACTCACAGTTAACACAGTACAAGGTTTACAATACAGAGTTGATGCCTGTGGTCACCATAGTGACCACCAAGGTCAATTTCTTCAGAAACGTGATGTTTAGATAACTACTCACAGTTAACACAGTACAAGGTTTACAATACAGAGTTGATGCCTGTGGTCACCATAGTGACCACCAAGGTCAATTTCTTCAGAAACGTGATGTTTAGATAACTACTCACAGTTAACACAGTACAAGGTTTACAATACAGAGTTGATGCCTGTGGTCACCATAGTGACCACCAAGGTCAATTTCTTCAGAAACGTGATGTTTAGATAACTACTCACAGTTAACACAGTACAAGGTTTACAATACAGAGTTGATGCCTGTGGTCAACATAATCGACCCTCATTGTTACAGTGCTTAAATTACGAAAAGGACAATATTACAGTGCATGTTAATTTTCTGAAATTACTTGCAAATTCATTTTTTCAATTTTCATCAACATATATATTGTTATCTTTATTAATTCACTTTGCTTGAAGGTTTCATCTTAAAGTATTTTAAAGATCAGAGCCATGTACACTACTGAATAATCAGTTTATTTCAGACAGTCTCAAGTTTGATAAGTTAAAGTAATGTAATTTGAAATGTGAAAAAATGGATTTGCAAAGAAAAAACAAGTTTATGAATTTGCAGAATGAGATATGCCATCTGATTTCCTTGAAGAGCAGTGCATGCAGTTCACCCCATCTACTTGTACACTGTACTGTTGTGTTACCTTCCTCACGAAGTCGTCTCCCTTTGATATCCTCCTCTGGTGTGGGAAGTCTAATTGTGGACAACAGATTTGATCCCTTTTCCTTTTTTATTTCATTTAGCACCATAGCTAATTCTTTATCCTCATCATCAGTGAGAGATTTACGAGAAACCAACATTTTACTTGTACATGTCAATGCTGGTAGTTCATAGTCAGGTATAGATTGAACTTTGACCTCTGTTGGTTTTTCTCCAAGTATCTGTTCTTGTTCAGATTCTGAGGAAACGCCAACTTCAGGTTTATCAGTGATGTCAGATTTATCAGATACATTATCATTTTTTTCTGTAGCAAGCTCCACTTCAGTATCAAAAAACTCAGAATTGAACTCGACAGAGTCAGATTCATCCAAAATGGCTGTTGTCTGTATCAGAGTTAGGGGTGTACGGTCAGATGCGTCCAGCACATTTGGTATATCATAGTCAATGGTTTTCTTTGAGAATTCTGGGACAGAATCAGCAGGAAGTTTATCCAGTGTATTCTGTGGGGGGATATAATCTACAGAAGCTTCAGGTGCTAAATGTTCAAAAGGATCAAGGCTTGCTGTTGTACACAGAATAAAGGTACACGATGATGATGAATAAAGGTAAACATAAATACATATATACATGCTTCTATTCTATATAATTATTAACATATATCATAAATCTATTCACAAAAATACTGCAGGCATTGTCAGGACAAAATTATAATATATGCCAATTATATACATCTAGATATAAGCATTAAGTACCTAGTATTATGGACATGCATCTCCAATGATAAAATTATGTTCATGAATTCATAAATTTCCCTATCACTGAATTTTATTGACAGAGTATATTTTCATATTCACGTCCCTTTTCAGATTTTTTTTCAATATATATCTTCAACTTCTAGTTATTTTTTTACATAGATTTAAGTAATGCATGAACTTGAGGTTGGATTAAGTTGATGTTGTACTAATGGGCCATAATGATATTACACCAGTAAATCCTACACAGGTCGTGTGTGATAATGATGTGACATTAGAACCCAGGTACCACATAGGGACTTAATGGTGTATAACATGGATGATTATTTGTGAATTAGACTGTGTGTACAATGTAAATAAGTGCTAATGAATTCTGTGCTAATTCATTACAATATATTACATTAAAGGGAACTTATAACAAAAGACATACCAGGTATATGAATTAATTGAAACAAATAAATCAAATAAACATTCTGAAAAAAAAAACTAAAGTTAAAAATTTCTAGCTAACTTCTTATAATTCTTTTAATTTAAAGGTTAAAGATGAATGAACATTTTATCTAGCAGCATCTACCTAATAATGTATCTAAACTATAAGCACAACATATATTACGTAGCAGCACCTGAATCATATAGCCTAATAGAAAATAAATTGAAGTCATTATAATCAATACACACCACATCTTGATAGATCACGGCAATCATTGACTTTTAGATTGTTTACTGAACTTGTACTGGAGTCTACTTATCGTTTTGTAGTAAAAGCCTGATCAGATGACCACCTGTACAACTGATATAGAATCTTACCTACAACTGGCTCTGGGGCAAGCTTTTCTGGTTTGGCTTTATCTTCTACAACGTCTGTTCCCTGAAAATTGAATAACTTTAAGTCAAAATTCAATGAACAAATGAATATAAATGTTTATAAAACAGTCTAAAACTAGGAAATGTCTATAAGATATAAATGGACATATTTCCTACAAATTTTCATCAATATTTGACCAAATTTGATCAATAACAATTGTGACCTTGACATCAACTTTGAAACTTCAGCTTTTCCCAAGAATTGTTAAAGTTGACATTTGCATTCATTTGTCATCAAAATCCCTAAAAAGAAAGGAAGTTGCTTGATTGAAGAAAATGATTTGTAATGTGACACAATATAAAGGGACAGACATGGATATGTCCATGTATTGTACAGCTAAGTATATATGCCTCTCCCCCCTCTGCCCCACTATTACAATGAGGTCTGTAATATCTTGTCCAATTATTACACTGAGGTCTGTAATATCTTGTCCCACTGTTACACTGAGGTCTGTAATATCTTGTCCCACTGTTACACTGAGGTCTGTAATATCTTGTCCCACTGTTACACTGAGGTCTGTAATATCTTGTCCCACTATTACACTGAGGTCTGTAATATCTTGTCCCACTGAGGTCTGTAATATCTTGTCCCACTGTTACACTGAGGTCTGTAATATCTTGTCCCACTATTACACTGAGGTCTGTAATATCTTGTCCCACTATTACACTGAGAGTGGTAATATCTTGTCCCACTATTACAATGAGGTCTGTAATATCTTGTCCCAATATTACACTGAGCGTGGTAATACTTGACCCATTATTACAATGAGGTCTGTAATATCTTGTCCCACTATTACACTGAGGGTGGTAATATCTTGTCCCACTATTACACTGAGGGTGGTAATATCTTGTCCCACTATTACACTGAGGGTGGTAATATCTTGTCCCACTATTACACTGTGGTCTGTAATATCTTGTCCCACTATTACACTGAGAGTGGTAATACTTGTCCCACTATTACACTTTTGTTTTTTTTTCAAACTGCACCCAGTGAAAAGTGAACCTGACTTTACAGTACTGATTAAATGTCACTCACCTCAACATGTGGTACCCAGTCCACAGGTGTGGCAGGTTTACTAGGAGGTGTACCCGGGGGGGTGGGGCCAGGTGACATCCCAAAGGTGGGTAAAAGGAAGGGGTCCTCCTCTTTTGGTCCATCCTCAATATCAGATTGTAAAGGGGTGTCATCATCCAACATAATGTTTACTCGTTTCTTGCCTCGCTTTGGATCTGATACAGAACAATTCCACAGAGATTGTAGTGACATTGACAATACTCAGATAATGTCATATACAATTTATATCTACAGCATGTATCAGTTTAAAACTAAAAGCTGATACAGACAAATGCCTCTAAATAATATGTGATTTATTTATGGCTGACAAGCTAATACATTTGATAGCAGAATCTTCACTGATACCATCATGAAATATTAGAAAGCTTAATAGACACTTCACCCATGATAACGGGACAATCTCTACAGTATCAAGTTGATTTATTATTCTGAATCTACACCGATCAATAATCATGTTTTTTACAAAAATTAATAGTTTTATAGATTAGCTATAATTACATATTAAGTATTTCTACATAAACACCGACTGAAATACCATGTTACAGTAGTCACGTCATTACATAAATGTTTAATTAGTCACATGACTTTTATATCATATTTACTTTATAAAGCTACAATGATTTAATTTCTATATAAAAGGAGCAGGTTCGCGTCCCTCTGATTTCACGATAGTAATCCATGTATTTAAAGTATACAGAATTTTGATAAAATCCTCAGCCTGCATTGTTTTTCATGTCAGGATATGGTGCATTGTTGTAGATTAAACAGCGATGATATGTTGTTTCTACACCTCAACAGGGTACATGAAAATGGTTCTGGTAATGTGTATTTGTTTGTCACAACATTTGCCATGACTGTACACTAAGTGGAGACAGTATTTTACCAGACAGAAGCTGGTTTACCAGTAATATGACAGTAGTCAGCTCACATTTATTTAAATTTGATGTTTAGCTTACATCTCATACACTTTGGCAGTCTGGAAGGAATTGTGTACAAATTTCATTTTTATAAAAAAAAATACTTGATAAAGGGATAAAATGTGATAACATCCTGATCCTTTGTTTTTATATTACATAGTCTTAAGTTATATTACATGTACAATGTATAATATATCCAGGATGAAAAATTTTTGCACAGTGGTCATGACGAAATTCCAATGTAGAACATTACATATACAGTACATGTACAGTTTGGTTTTATTCTCCCACAACTCGGAGATACAATTCTGTTTTTGGTGAGAGAAGATCTTGCCAATTTTGTCACAAATTCCCATTGATTATGGTACAATGTATGGAGTTCAATTTATCGTGACAATATTAGCAATAGGAAATTGAGGGACAGTAGAAAAAAACACCTCTAAGCAATATAGACAGATATGTCCACTCTTAGTGAAAGTTTGTACTGATCTTGACTTATTGATTTATTTTTTATCATTATTATTCAATTTAAAGTAAATAAAATAAAAACGAAAACTACCTGAAATAGAAATAAATGGATTTATCCTGCAACATTCACTTCTATAGTGGGAATACACCTGCCATATATAATTTTGTTGTATTCGGCAGTGACAGAAAACAGCTGTATTTTAGCATGTACAGTAACTCAACAGAATTACTTTCTGAATTTACTTTAAAATTACCGTAAATAATAGAAATAACTGTTGAAATAAGCAATTTGATATGTCATGATGAATAAGATTATTTACGATATTTACCAGTCGTGGTCATATCTATTGAAGTTTGGAGCCACATTTCTGTGGAGAGCAATTATTTTGGCGTACGTCATCTGCCAAAATTCAGTGTAATATCAATGTCAGGTAAACAAAAATTGAACAATAAAACACCATTGAAGTTTTGATGGTGTGACTTTCTATCAATGATGCAGTATAAATAGAATTTATGGTCAGTGTCTTAAAACATAAGCTGCATTTAGACTCGGGAAAGAATGACAAAAGTGGCGCAACAGATGCTCGCCATTGTTGTCTACCTTCACCCTCACCAAAATACAGCTTATATCTTAAGACACTGACCTTGTATTCTCTATTCATTTCTAGTATAGAACACGAAGAATTTTCTAAGAAGAAACTTGAAATGCTACTGCCATGTCTTGTAGAATGGTTGGATGCTAAGATTTGAAATTTGGAGTTTTGGTATGTTTCATTGTTACATTAAGAAACATTTGATTCAATATTGATACAAATCTATCCTTCAAAAAAAATTCTATTTATACTCAGCACACACTTCTATAGAACTGTGAACTTTGAAAACTGGAACAAAGAATAAGTGCAATAACAAACAACAGGTGAGAGGTTTAGAGGCGTGCTGGGCAGGTAAATATAGAGGTTTATAACAACAGGTGAGAGGTTTAGAGGCGTGCTGGGCAGGTAAATATGGAGGTTTATAACAACAGGTGAGAGGTATGGAGGGGTGCTGGGCAGGTAAATATGGAGGTTTATAACAACAGGTGAGAAGTATGGAGGGGTGGTGGGTAGATTACTATAGAGGTTTATAACAACAGGTGAGAGGTATGGAGGGGTGCTGGGCAGGTAAATATGGAGGTTTATAACAACAGGTGAGAAGTATGGAGGGGTGCTGGGTAGGTTACTATAGAGGTTTATAACAACAGGTGAGAGGTATGGAGGGGTGCTGGGCAGGTAAACATGGAGGTTTATAACAAGAGGTGAGAGGTATGGGGGGTTGCTGGGCAGGTAAATATGGAGGTTTATAACAACAGGTGAGAAGTATGGAGGGGTGGTGGGTAGGTTACTATAGAGGTTTATAACAACAGGTGAGAGGTATGGAGGGGTGCTGGGCAGGTAAATATGGAGGTTTATAACAACAGGTGAGAAGTATGGAGGGGTGCTGGGTAGGTTACTATAGAGGTTTATAACAACAGGTGAGAGGTATGGAGGCGTGCTGGGCAGGTAGATATGGAGGTTTATAACAACAGGTGAGAGCTTTAGAGGCGTGCTGGGCAGGTAAATATGGAGGTTTATAACAACAGTTGAGAGGTATGGAGGGGTGGTTGGTAGGTTACTATAGAGGTTTATAACAACAGGTGAGAGGTATGGAGGGGTGCAGGGCAGGTAAATATGGAGGTTTATAGCAACAGGTGAGAGGTATGGAGGGGTGCTGGGCAGGTAAATATGGAGGTTTATAACAACAGGTGAGAGGTATGGATGGGTGCTGGGAAGGTTACTATAGAGGTTTATAACAACAGGTGAGAGGTATGGAGGGTGCTGGGCAGGCAAATATAGAGGTTTATAACAACAGGTGAGAGGTATGGAGGCGTGCTGGGCAGGTAAATATGGAGGTTTATAACAACAGGTGAGAGGTATGGAGGGGTGCTGGGCAGGTAAATATGGAGGTTTATAACAACAGGTGAGAGGTATGGAGGGGTGCTGGGAAGGTTACTATAGAGGTTTATAACAACAGGTGAGAGGTATGGAGGGGTGCTGGGCAGGTAAATATGGAGGTTTATAACAACAGGTGAGAGGTATGGAGGGGTGCTGGGAAGGTTACTACAGAGGTTTATAACAACAGGTGAGAGGTATGGAGGGTGCTGGGCAGGCAAATATAGAGGTTTATAACAACAGGTGAGAGGTATGGAGGCGTGCTGGGCAGGTAAATATGGAGGTTTATAACAACAGGTGTGAGGTATGGAGGGGTGCTGGGTAGGTTACTATAGAGGTTTATAACAACAGGTGAGAGGTATGGGGGGGTGCTGGGCAGGTAAATATGGAGGTTTATAACAACAGGTGAGAGGTATGGAGGGGTGCTGGGCAGGTAAATATGGAGGTTTATAACAACAGGTGAGAGGTATGGAGGGGTGCTGGGCAGGTAAATATAGAGGTTTATAACAACAGGTGAGAGGTATGGAGGGGTGCTGGGCAGGTAAATATAGAGGTTTATAACAACAGGTGTGAGGTATGGAGGGGTGCTGGGCAGGTAAATATAGAGGTTTATAACAACAGGTGTGAGGTATGGAGGGGTGCTGGGCAGGTAAATATAGAGGTTTATAACAACAGGTGAGAGGTATGGAGGGGTGCTGGGCAGGTAAATATAGAGGTTTATAACAACAGGTGAGAGGTATGGAGGGGTGCTGGGCAGGTAAATATAGAGGTTTATAACAACAGGTGTGATGAGAAGGATGGAATGGTGCTGGGAAAAGGATTGAACTAGAGAGGTCTGTAACACAAGGATAGATGAAATTTAACACACGAGGTGCCCACAATATGGGACAAACCATCTTACATATCTTTCTTCCTTTTTTCAGGAATTTTTTTCTCCTAGCATCTGCTTTTTCTGGAATAAAACAGCATGCAGTGTTCATATATCTTGAGTATAATTATGACTTTCTAATGTGAAATCCATGGACTTATATGTACTACTGTACAGTTATCACAGTTACAATATACTGACTCCTGATTATCAAAATTTCAAAGTAGTGACTGCCTCAGCACCATCTTTAGTATCCCACCACCATGTACAGAATGGCTGCTAGCGGCCCTCATGAATATTTTAGTTTAAAATGTGATAAATACCACTAAGGACAAATGATAAAATTACAGTACACTGTTAAAGATATATTTACCATCCTCCAGAATTAGTAGAAATAAAATTTAGATATCAAAAATCCAAAATGAATTATTATTATTATAAAAGGATGGTCATTTCATAACGATAAAGACCTAAGTCCATACTGAACGAGTTTAAAATGTTACAAGAACATTCCTTTAGGAATTCTTCAGAAATAGTGAGGACAAACTTTAAACCATGTCAAAATTCAACATGGCAATTGCCATCCTCAATTATCCCATGAAGATTAGAATGATCTCATTAAGATTAAAATGTGGCAGGAACATTGTCAATAAAAATCCATTGTGATACTGATCATTTCCATAAAGTTCTGGGACAATCCCTTCAGTATTTCTGTAGAAATAGCAGTAACAAGAAACAGTGCGTGGGATGGACTGATGGAAATACAGACATAGCAGGGACAATATTTGATGTAGAAGCCCATCATCTGATAATTGTGGGCCCAAAATATATCAATATTACAAACTGAATTAATGATAAATATGTAAACAGAATGTGACAACAATTCTGGCAGGGTAATATAAACAGTCAGATCCTGTCACTGTGATTATACTGTACTTTATAGTAGGACTGCCACTACTACACCTTACACTACTATGCTAATACAGGATTATTGGTACATTTATTGTACATGCAACTAAAACATGCAGAGTACAAACACTATAAATATATGTACTGAAATAGATACTGAAATCAATAGACCGTGTAATAACTCAATGACAGTAAGAGTACATTGGGTTTATTTAGTGTGATAGTAAATTACCTAATTACCTGACTACCTGACAATTGAAACACAGGTGACTTTTATTGATTTCATAACCAAAAGATCATTTTTTTCCTTACTGAATGACACCCTCTTATATTTGTACATTTACAATATACTGTCCATGATAAACTTTAATCGATTTTGGCGCTAAATTTTTAAAACTCATTTCTCTTAAATTATAATTTCATACTTTCAAGAATGGCAAACTTACGTTTCAAGGCAAGGGTCCTCATGGTGCGATGCATCTGTTTGAGGAGGTCGTATTTGGTATAGCCTGATCCCAGGGTGAGATCAATCTCAGAGAGTCGACTGGGACTGTCAGGCGGTGAGAGGTAGGTGTCTGTGGGAGCCAAGGAATAGTCTGACTCGGACTCGCTTGTCTGAAATCACATCAACAAGAAATCCACAGGCATTAACATTCATCTGACTATAAAGACCTACTGAAGGAATATACAGTATGAAAAAGGCCAAAAAGGCCTAAAATAAATTGCTCATCTAATCTACAGTTTATAAAGAAGATATTGTTGGTTTATAAAAATATTTTCTGCAAACCTGAAATCATATTCTTTACACATGCTACTTACACAAATGCCATTACTCCCAACCTATTGCTTGTTGAAAAAGAAATTCTAAGATCTTAATTCATTTGACACTAGAGACCGTGAACATAGGTCAAGGTCAATAAGTTGAATAAATTTGGTAGTACTTCAACCATTTATGCTAAAGAACTAAAATTAACAGCCTGGACCTTTTTTTCTTATTGAGAACAAGAAGAGAAGATTTAAACACATCTGACCCCTGTGACCTTTAAAAAAAAGAAGAGGTCAATCACATGCACAAAATTGTTAACTCTTCATCCATTCATACTACAGGCCCAATACCAGCACCCTTGGGCCTTTTGGTTATTGAAAATAAGTCTTTCAAAGATTTAAACACATTTGACCCTGGTGATCTGGAAAGGGGCAGCTTTTCACCAAGGCTTGCTACATAACCAATACCAGCACCCTTGGCCTTTTGGTTATTGAAAATAAGTCTTTCAAAGATTTAAACACATTTGACCCTGGTGATCTGGAAAGGGGCAGCTTTTCATCAAGGCTTGCTACATAACCAACATCAGCACCTTGGGCCTTTTGGTTATTGAGAAGAAATTGTTTAAGTCTTTCAACACATTTGACTACTGTAACCTTGAAAGTGGATCAAGGTCATTCATATCAATTAACTTGGTAGTCCTTCATCACAGCATGCTACAGACCCAATATCAGCACCCTGTGCCTATCAGTTATTGAAAAGAGGTCATTTGAATGGAAAGTTTACACACGGTGCATGATGCAAGACGACGGATGAAACATGTCGACTTTGGGTCAGATGACCTAATAAATCTGCCGTCTCATCAAATATTCCTATTTTCTCATTATTTTTGTCTCTAATTGCGAGCAAAGTACATCACAAAGTCAAATAACATTAGAATTATTCCTTGAGAAGAACTGATCAAGAAGATCATGCAAGCTACTAATCTGATCTAGAAATGACATCCTAGATGTAATAATACTTCTGATTACAATCACTTCCAATTAACAAATGTTTTGTTGCAACTCTTAAAGTTATAAAAACTCTAAATGAAAGCAAACGTAGCAGTTGTAATGCTTTATATAATAACACATTAAGCGTTGTTACTACATTAAGAGTTGCAACAATGCCTTACTAGATAACCTGTGGTCAGTATCACTGAAACGCAGATGTTTCAATGTATTCTTGTACCCTTACAAGCACCCTACCTCTTTATCCTCTTCTTTCGGACCAGCTTTCTGTTCTATAGGGAGTTTTCCCTCCAGGAAGTCCTGTGAAAACTTCAGTTTATAGGGTACCTGGAAATGGAAATTCATAAACAAATGAAAACAATCCTAATACTTCTTATACTCAGTACAGTATGTGTAAGGTGAACAGATAATCTGTCCCTGGGATATATAGATAATCTGTCCCTGGATATATAGATAAGATATACAGATAATCTGTCCCTGGGATATATAGATAAGATATATAGATAATCTGTCCCTGGGATATATAGATAAGATATATAGATAATCTGTCCCTGGATATATAGATAATCTGTCACTGGGATATGCAGATAATCTGTCACTGGGATATCTAGATAATCTGTCGCTGGGATATATAGATAATCTGTCACTGGGATATATAGATAATCTGTCCCTGGGATATATAGATAATCTGTCGCTGGGATATATAGATAATCTGTCACTGGGATATATAAATAATCTGTCCCTGGGATATATAGATAATCTGTCACTGGGATATATAAATAATCTGTCCCTGGGATATATAGATAATCTGTCACTGGGATATCTAGATAATCTGACCCTGGGATATATAGATAATCTGTCACTGGGATATATAGATAATCTGTCCCTGGGATATATAGATAATCTGTCGCTGGGATATATAGATAATCTGTCACTGGGATATATAGATAATCCGTCACTGGGATATATAGATAATCTGTCCCTGGGATATATAGATAATCTGTCGCTGGGATATATAGATAATCTGTCCCTGGGATATATAGATAATCTGTCACTGGGATATATAGATAATCTGACCCTGGGATATATAGATAATCTGTCACTGGGATATATAGATAATCTGTCCCTGGGATATATAGATAATCTGTCACTGGGATATATAGATAATCTGTCACTGGGATATATAGATAATCTGTCACTGGGATATATAGATAATCTGTCACTGGGATATATAGATAATCTGTCCCTGGGATATATAGATAATCTGTCACTGGGATATATAGATAATCTGGTACTGGGATATATAGATAATCTGTCCCTGGGATATATAGATAATCTGGTACTGGGATATATAGATAATCTGTCACTGGGATATATAGATAATCTGTCACTGGGATATATAGATAATCTGTCACTTGGATATATAGTTTGGTTTAAAGAAAGAAAACACTGACCAGATAGGTCTCCAGGGTCAGCTCATCTGTGTTCTGTAGTCCGCCCTCATACAGCACATCAGGATTCTCGTAAATATCAGACTCTGTAAGTCATCAAAGTCAGAATCAGAATCATGCAATCAACACCAAAGGACAGTAATACCAAACATTCACCCACCTTCTGTTTTGACCCTAACTGACAAAGGTGTAAAATGGACAGAAACTAAACAGCAGAGAAAATTTCCTCACATGCATTATTCAAAATGCCCATAAATAAAATAAACTTTTTTTTCAGTGTCCATAAATGAACAGTACATGTCCAAAAATATATTTTATTTAACAAGAAACTTTTGATTTGTGAACATGAAACATTTATTGAATTTTTTGACATACAACTTTTGAGTGTATGTTAACACAACTAAGACCTTAGTCCTTTGTACTTTATTGTTTGTGGTCTGTTACCTGTATCTGTATCATAGTCCCCCTCGTCACTAGGCAGCTTTAAGTACGGACAAACTGAAAGATAAGATGTGTTCACTAGCAAATATTATCAACTAAATATGAAATATTGTGTCATTTCTCCTTCCTTGTTCTCTAACTCAGCTAACTCTTAAAGTGGTGAGCTTAACCATCAACATTTATAAGCTACATAACTTAACATTTATTTAATCTATACGCACTGAAGTTAACAGATTCTCTTATAGTAATTGAACAGTGAGGTATTATCACTATTTAATTAACCTACCTGGAATAAAGCCTACACAAAGTCTGGAATAAAGCCTACATAAAGTCTGGAATAATACCTACACAAAGTCTGGAATAATACCTACACAAAATCTGGAATAAAGCCTACGTAAAGTCTGGAATAATACCTACACAAAGTCTGGAATAAAGCCTACACAAAGTCTGGAATAATACCTACACAAAGTCTGGAATAATACCTACACAAAGTCTGGAATAAAGCCTACACAAAGTCTGGAATAAAGCCTACATAAAGTCTGGAATAATACCTACACAAAGTCTGGAATAAAGCCTACACAAAGTCTGGAATAAAGCCTACACAAAGTCTGGAATAAAGCCTACACAAAGTCTGGAATAATACCTACACAAAGTCTGGAATAATACCTACACAAAGTCTGGAATAATACCTATGTAAAGTCTGGAATAATACCTACACAAAGTCTGGAATAAAGCCTACACAAAGTCTGGAATAAAGCCTACATCAAGTCTGGAATAATACCTACACAAATTCTGGAATAATACCTACACAAAGTCTGGAATAAAGCCTACACAAAGTCTAGAATAAAGCCTACATAAAGTCTGGAATAATACCTACACAAAGTCTGGAATAATACCTACACAAAGTCTGGAATAATACCTACACAAAGTCTAGAATAAAGCCTACACAAAGTCTGGAATAATACCTACACAAAGTCTGGAATAATACCTCCACAAAGTCTGGAATAAAGCCTACACAAAGTCTGGAATAAAGTCTATGTAAAGTCTGGAATAATACCTACACAAAGGCTGGAATAATACCTACATCAAATCTGGAAATATACCTACACAAAGTCTGGAATAATACCTACACAAAGTCTGGAATAAAGCTTACGTAAAGTCTGGAATAAAGCCTACGTAAAGTCTGGAATAAAGCCTACGTAAAGTCGGGAATAAAGCCTACATAAAGTCTGGAATAAAGCCTACATAAAGGTTGGAATAATACCTACACAAAGTCTGGAATAAAGCCTATGTAAAGTCTGGAATAAAGCCTACGTAAAGTCTGGAATAAAGCCTACGTAAAGTCTGGAATAAAGCCTACATAAAGGTTGGAATAATACCTACACAAAGTCTGGAATAAAGCCTACGTAAAGTCTGGAATAAAGCCTACATAAAGGTTGGAATAATACCTACACAAAGTCTGGAAATATACCTACACAAAGTCTGGAATAAAGCCTACGTAAAGTCTGGAATAAAGCCTACGTAAAGTCTGGAATAAAGCCTGCATAAAGTCTGGAATAAAGCCTACGTAAAGTCTGGAATAAAGCCTACATAAAGGTTGGAATAATACCTACACAAAGTCTGGAATAAAGCCTATGTAAAGTCTGGAATAAAGCCTACGTAAAGTCTGGAATAAAGCCTACGTAAAGTCTGGAATAAAGCCTACATAAAGGTTGGAATAATACCTACACAAAGTCTGGAATAAAGCCTACGTAAAGTCTGGAATAAAGCCTACATAAAGGTTGGAATAATACCTACACAAAGTCTGGAATAATACCTACACAAAATCTGGAATAAAGCCTACGTAAAGTCTGGAATAATACCTACACAAAATCTGGAATAAAGCCTACGTAAAGTCTGGAATAAAGCCTACGTAAAGTCTGGAATAAAGCCTACGTAAAGTCTGGAATAAAGCCTAGAATAAAGCCTACACAAAGTCTGGAATAAAGCCTACACAAAGTCTGGAATAAAGCCTACACAAAGTCTGGAATAATACCTACACAAAATCTGGAATAAAGCCTACGTAAAGTCTGGAATAAAGCCTACGTAAAGTCTGGAATAAAGCCTACACAAAGTGGTTTGCCTACCTTTTGTGTGATCTATGAAGTAGATATGGTTTTGGAAGCCCACCAGGAGGTCACATTGAGCATTAAGGAAGCACAAGGAACTGAGAGAATCTTCCATAGTGATCTCTGTCAGCAACACACAGAATTCATCCCAAATCTTTATGGCACCATCCATACTAAAACCAGAAACAATCACACCTAATCAATACTACAAGGTAGCAGTACATATAAAACAAAAACCCCTGAGCACAAAAAGAGAAATTGTTGAGAGTAAAACTAAATTATGTGGTTTCCTTTTTAGACATAAAAGAATCATGGTAAATCTCAGTAGCAGATTCCATTGTGCATTATAGAGTGATGAGTGTTCACCTAGTAGATAAGAATTATCTCCAACACGAGCTCACAGACTACAACCCTAGAACATGGATAGTGTAATAGACTGTACCTGGCAGAGCAGAATATGCGGAGAGAGGTTGAGGCATCCAGTCCAACGATTGGACTGTTATGGTCCAACTTTTTACCATTGTTGCTCACATCCTTCTCATCTGCAGCTTGTTCTTCATCGTCTCCTACTCAAAAGAAATGTCACAGAGATACACATTAAACACGTTCAATTGATTTCCAGTTCAGCGTACAAATTATAAATATGTTTAAGTTTACCAATTATCAATGATTTCTTTGTAGGTGTCATAAACCTGACATAACATCACACAGGGCTCTGGGCTTTGATAACTAGAATTTATCTTTCATCCAATCAACAGCCAATGAGCTCCAGGCTTAAAAATGCTTAAATAATCCTTTCCACCCACAAAACATACAATCATGATCAGGGTTTTAGCTTTCTTTGAGAGACACCCTTATACAGAAAATTCCACTAATGGACTCAAGTCAATCTTCCTTACTTTATATAAACTAAGACAGACTATTGCTACAGGTTTAAGAACATGACCTCAGACTGGCTTCTGCAAACCCAACCAGCAATGAGATCTAAAACTTCATTTCAACATACACAATAAACCATTAATGGGCTTTAGGCTCAGAGAGTCTCATTCAGATCTCAACCACAACCAGCTTCACTTCAGCTACCATCCCACGCCCAAGCAGCTTCACTTCAGCTGTCACCTGCACCCAACCAGCTTCACTTCAGCTACCATCCCACACCCAACCAGCTTCACTTCAGCTGTCACCTGCACCCAACCAGCTTCACTTCAGCTACCATCCCACACCCAACCAGCTTCACTTCAGCTGTCACCTGCACCCAACCAGTTTCACTTCAGCTACCATCCCACACCCAACCAGCTTCACTTCAGCTACCATCCCACGCCCAAGCAGCTTCACTTCAGCTACCATCCCACGCCCAAGCAGCTTCACTTCAGCTGTCACCTGCACCCAACCAGTTTCACTTCAGCTGTCACCTGCACCCAACCAGCTTCACTTCAGCTGCCATCCAACACCCAACCAGCTTCACTTCAGCTATCATCCTGCACCCAACCAGCTTCACTTCTGCTGTCATTCCACACCCAATGGATAACAGACTTAAAGAGCCTGCAGAATTCAGATCTCCTAGCACTGATGAACTTACACCTCCAGGAGTAATCATCACTTCATGATAAGCTGATCTGATGTCAGGTATGCAGAGGATTTTGACACAACTTTCACCTTTAAATATTAACAATGTACTGACCTTTCGACTTCAAAGTCATAGATTCCTCAACAGGAAGTAAGTAGTGGAAGTAAACCGCACCGCCCTTGTGACCAGTCAAGAAAGAATAATCCTGAAACAAGTCACAGACCATGTTTAGATATCAGCATGTATTCACAGGCAACAAAGCTTCATATGGAAATATAACATTACAATAACTGCCCTGCTTCTAATCCCTATCCATGGTTACAGTAAAAACTAGAAAATATTTACAAAACACGAATATTCCCCATACAAACCAGAACCTGATAAGTTGTAGAACTTCAGGTTATGCTAATTTGAGGATAGTTATTCACACAATCTGTTGATAGGCTCTCTAGGTATGACATTGATGTGGAGGAGGATATCACATGACAGGACAGATGGAGGGATAGGGGTAAGAATATATGCCCTACAATACAATAGCAAGAACATAAAAAAATGATTTCCCAGGATCTTGTTGGATGTAATGAAATGTGTGTGCGAACAAACATAAAGAGAATATTCTGTTAAAATCATTAAGTTTTTGTTTGAAAGGTCAAAACAGTGACCTAAAGCATATTGTACCAGATTAAGCTGAGATCCTCAGACAGAGGTAAACACCTACCAGTCGAGTGAAATGCTGGACATCCTGCCCACAACATACTTCATGTTTAAGTGTGAGGTTGGGCAGATCCCACATCTGGAATAGAGCATGGTTTGTCATCTGGCACATGGTGATCAGCGCCTCATGAGCAACATCATGTTTCATCATCTGGATCTGAAAAACATATACACAGATATTACAGGGCATAATTCATTATCTGAATCTAGAACACAGACATGTAAAACTTACAGGGGAGCAACATTATTTTTATCGTAAATATAACAGGGCAACATCATGTTTTATCCTCTAAATCTGAAAAATAGACAGAAAAAATATGCAGATTTTCTTTGGAGCGTAGAATTAGTAAAGAAGAAATCCTTTCTTTCTTATAATCACCTCTACCTGGCTGATATTGTATACTTTTTATAATAAAATCTCTATCCGCTTGAATTCTAATGAAAGGTGTACAATTTTTCTGTCTCCATTTTCTACATATAAATAAAAGTGGGAAAACGCCCTTAATGAGGTATGAATCAATAATATATACAAATAACTACTGTATGAATGTCAAGGTTGTTGTTAATTCATTTTCCCTGTAATCATCACATTTGACCCTGACCTTGTCTTTGTTGGCCTTGAACTCCATGTACTTCTGTCCACGAATCACAGGGTCCATAAATAGAATCCGACCATCCTACAAAAATATAGATTGTAGTATTAGTAATGTGGATGAATAAATCAGATACAATATTAAATTCAAACTGAACATCAATTTGGATTTTTTATTCTAATTCAATGGTATTGAACAGTATGAGAGACAACTTCATACCTCCATCCCTAGTAGTAGATAGGTATGTCGTATAGGACAACAGTTGCCTTCATCTGTCCACATGGTCGCCGAAGAATTCAAATCACACAGACTGTAACAGTCACACACCACTTCATTCCCTGTCCCGTTCTCTGTAGCACGATGGAGTGGTATTCCTTTTGGACCAGTCCTGTATCAAACAAAAGTTCTTTCAATAGTCTAAAATATTTTTTTTCACATGGACTCTTTTGTTTGAGGCATGAAATGGATTTACGTACCTTGTGCCACGCTCCTCTCCTCTTCCCTTAGACCCAACAATATAGGGCAATTGCAGGTCATGGACATTCCACACAGCAATACGACAGCTCGGGTCAGTCCTTGAGAAAGGTCAGCATCAATATCAATGTTACTTACATATTTTCAGAATTCAAGCAATTGCGTATTTTTTTTCTTTATTCTAAAAAATGTGCGACACAAAAACAAGATGAATAACAACAAACTTCAACATGGTATCACATTACATTTACAGAAGTAGGTTCCAAATGTGACCTTGAGAAATGTCAAAGGTCATGACCTTACCTGGAGGTATAGACCCAGATCTCCTGAGGATTTATAAGAAGGAATACCACATCAAACTCTCTACTGTAACATATACTCATCACAGACTGCAGTGCAGGCACCACATGTGGGGGTAGCACCGTCGTTAGGTTCTTTGATGTCTTCCTGTTGAACAGTCTAACACTGAAGAGGAGATAAAACATATTAGGTGATATAGGCTACCGTAGAAATGGTTTTAACTTTCTATAATTCTCCTGTGTATCTGTCTTGATCAGATGTAGCAGATAGCACTGATATCTATATCAGATATGTGTACTTCAGTTTCTACAACATTACCAAAGACTTATGTATTCTTCCTCATCAATTCTTCTTAAAGTACAAATGTACCTTGTTAATAATTTTTGTAAAGAAACTGTCCAGAATTACCCGGGTCAGTTTACCAAGGCAAGAGGTCAACAGCCTTCTGATATGTTTTAATTTATCACAAGACTTAGAGAAAAAATAATCTGGACCATTGACCCTAGGACATGAAAAGCAATCCAAAGAAGCCATTTAGGTAAGGAAACATTGTACATCTTTCAGGTTTGAGTTTGATTGGCCAAAGCAAGCTTGAGTTATGGCAGATAGTAACTGCAGTGACCTTGACCTTTGACCTTCAAAACTGTAATGCAAGCAAACTCTTTTAGTAAGAAAGTACTGTATGAAGTTTGGGTTAGATTGGCCAAAGCAAACTCTAGTTTTCACTTCCGTCGCCATATTGGTTCAGTTGTCTGGGACATTTTAACATTTGACATCAGTAATGCAAAGCTTCTAAATGACCAAGTTCAAACAATGACCTCTCTAATCTGATATGTCAACTGTTTACTACATTTTCTAAAAAAAATTTGATCTATCACTTTATTTAATTCATGAAAAAAATGTATTTTTTGATGACCAAATACATTTCTTTTAAATATACAATTACCGTAAATTTTTGCGTATATTGCGCACTTTTTCAAGCTAAAACTGTCGTGTCAAAAATAGATATATAGTATATATAAATACTAACAGCTTACATGTAATTGTCACTACAACAGAAAATTGGTAAAATAAAAAATCTAAGACTTGTTTCATTAATGGAAATTCAATGACATGTTAAATGTGAGGCAGAACTTTTAGCATCATATGGGAAAAAAGTCAACTTTAATCATCTTCATGTATCTCTTAAATGTGCAGTGGAAAGGGGAGGTAACCTTACCTGCTGTCATCTCCCAGGGACACAACCCTGGTTGTTTTACCCTCATGACCTGATAAAGAAAGGCGTGTGACTCGGTTGCGACTGAGTGCCCAGAAACTGTAGAACTGATTCAGTGACCACAGTGTAATGTTACGACATGTACTGACATACAGGATGTTGTCATCTGTAAGACCCATCCACAGCACACCGTCCGATGACACCGTAATACTGAAATACAAAATACAATCACAGATGCTGTATATTAATGATATCTATTACAATTTTACTGTAGAAAATGATTAATTGTTTAAATTAATATAAAATGTTGCAGCTATTTTCAAAATTTTAAAAAGTTTTGACCAGTAAAATGTTAGCCATACTTGTAGACGAGTTCCATAGTGTCAAGTGACCACATCCTGATAGATCCGTCTAGAGACGCTGTAATGATGAGGGAGGAGGAGTCAGGATGAAGGAGTAGGTTGGTAACAGCTCGGGAATGACCACGGAATGAGTGTACCATACCTCCCATCAGGCTCCATACCTTCACTGTTAACATTAAACATTAGATAAAGACTTCACACAAGCTACAAAATATCTTTTAGGTTTTATCTTATATCCAAATGATTATCAAGTTGATCATACAATATTTTTGAGATTTCATTTTATTTTTCAGCTAAATTTATTATTTCAAGTTCTGACAATTTTACTGAAAATACAACTTTCAAAAGAATTGTACATTTTTCATGAACAGAAAAAATTAGCATACAGCAGTTGCTTTATAAATTGTAATACATTGTATAGTTTGTCATTATGTAAATAACAACATCATGATTATAGTTGATAAGACAAGCAGATATTCTCAGAAAATTGACAGCTGGTTTACCAGTGAAACAACATAATTTTGATAGACTTTTAGTCGATAGCTTGATGAAGAATATCTAGTTAATAAAATTATATTCCTACCAACATCCAACCTGCAACAGAAAGTATCAACTAAGTAATTTTAGAGAATGCTGATAGAGGTTCGTGCGAGAAACTGGTCTTTATAAACAAGAGGTTTAAAAAGAGAAGTAGTTTCAAAACTTAGGATTTCTCTATAATGATGTTTACCTTCACAGTCAACAGAAGAAGTGATGAGGACTTTGGCACTCTGGGAATAAACACAGCCTGTGATGGACATGGTGTGGGCCCTGTACAGATACACAACAAATTTAATAGTGTGTGGGCCCTGTACAGATAGATACACAGCAAATCTAATAGTCTGTTGGTCCAAATTTGAAGACAGAAAAGTCCAAAAATTAAAAATAACGTCATAACTACACAGGAATTTATAAAACTGAAGTGTTTATGTGGAAGCAATTTCTTGTGATATATTTCACTCTAAGGGCGTTACAGAAACTGCAAAATCATATTTTTTTGTGAGGCTCAATTTCCACGGTTTTCATTGCCAATTTATTTCATGGATAAATCTTGCTCACAAAATCCACTAGTATTACAATATTTGACAAGTCTGATCTGTTTATCATTTTATAGACATATATATTTGTAGATATTAGATACCCATGAATCAATCAATATAAATCCTCCCCAAAAATCCATGATTCTACAGAGAGAGCAGCAAATGATCAGCACATAGTTAAATAGATTTTCTCTTACTGATGTATGAAGATATTAACTTTTGGTGTTTAATAGGTCTTCATGTTTCATATGAGAGTGGGAATGATATACACAGTAATTCGGCAAGCGTACTTTTCATATTTAAATAGTCGTTTTCCCTGGAGATTGTAGACCTGAAGGTCAGTATCAGAACAGAAGTACAAATGTTGAAGGTGATGATCCAGTTCCACTTTCTTTACCCAGCTGCCACCTACATTCTCCAGAGTCTTCCTGAAAACAACATATCATACATACTTGTATATATACACCATCATATACACCATCATATTATATCATATTATAGAGAAAATATAAAATATACTAGTACTACAGAATTGTGAACACCTATGAAGTAAATATTGAACTTATAAACCATCACTTAGGTGCTGCAGTTCATTTTTTTTTAATGATCAGTATAAAATACATACTAGTATATCGCAGGTATTTGTATCTATGGACAAAAGTGTAAACATTTTGCATTGTCAATTTCTTAATCATCAACAGACGAACGTGTGGACCACAGACGAAAGGCAAAGGTGAAAGGTGATTTCAATAGTCCAACATCTGATGACGACAGTTTAAAAAATCTGAAAGCTTCTTGGTTACTGATAAATCCTATATTTTCATTGTCCTAAAATTTCATGATTTTGCATTTAAATGCATTATCTGCAAGTTGGCAATTGATTTTGCAGGGTAATCTTTCTTGTGAAATCTATTAAAATGCATGACAATTTTTACTTTTTGCAGACACATGAATTTATGGATTAGAAGTGCCCTGTTTCCCACAAAATCAATAAAAATAAAACCAAACCCTTGAAAATCAATTATTTTTCAATAACATAATTATTTAATGGCACACAACTCAATTATGATAATGAACAACAGACTGCAATATTCAGAATGAATAAATTTGAAATCTGATTGCACATTGTACCATTGTTAGGATTAAGTTCATTTGAGCTTAGGTGAACATTTTTGTTATAAGATTGACTTATCTTTGTTTCATAAATCAACTTCTTTACAGTCATCTATACATTTACTGTATCTAACCCTCATAGTTACCTACCTAAATCAACTATACTTACTCTATATACTTACTCTATCTAACCCTCATAGTTACCTATAAATCAGTATACCTACCTAAATCAACTCTCATAGTTACCTACTATACTATACTTACTCTATCTAACTCTCATCGTTACCTACCTAAATCAGCTATACTTACTCTATCTAACTCTCATCGTTACCTACCTAAATCAGCTATACTTACTCTATCTAACTCTCATCGTTACCTACCTAAATCAGCTATACTTACTCTATCTAACTCTCATTGTTACCTACCTTAATCAGCTATACTTACTCTATATACTTACTCTATCTAACTCTCATTGTTACCTACCTAAATCAGTATACTTACTATCCTAAATTACCTACCTAAATCAGCTATACTTACTCTATCTACTAACTACTCATCTTACCTACCTAAATCAGCTATACTTACTCTATATACTTACTCTATCTATCTCACATTACCTACCTAAATCAGCTATACTTACTCTATCTAACTCTCATCAGTTACCTACCTAAATCAGCTATACTTACTCTATATACTACTCTATCTAACTCATCGTTACCTACCTAAATCAGCTATATTTACTCTATATAACTCTCATAGTTACCTACCTAAATCAGCTATACTTACTCTATATACTTACTATACTTACTCTATCTAACTTTCACAGTTACCTACCTAAATCAGCTATACTTACTCTATTTTCTTACTATACTTACTCTATCTAACTCTCACAGTTACCTACCTAAATCAGCTATACTTACTCTATCTAACTCTCACAGTTACCTACCTAAATCAACTATACTTACTCTATATACTTACTCTATCTAACTCTCATCATTACCTACCTAAATCAGCTATACTTACCTACCTAAATCAGCTATACTTACTCTATATACTTACTCTATCTAACTCTCATCGTTACCTACCTAAATCAGCTATACTTACTCTATCTAACTCTCATCATTACCTACCTAAATCAGCTATACTTACTCTATATACTTACTCTATCTAACTCTCACAGTTACCTACCTAAATCAGCTATACTTACTCTATATACTTACTCTATCTAACTCTCATTGTTACCTACCTAAATCAACTATACTTACTCTATCTGACTCTCACAGTTACCTACCTAAATCAGCTATACTTACTCTATATACTTACTCTATCTAACTCTCACAGTTACCTACCTAAATCAGCTATACTTACTCTATCTAACTCTCATCATTACCTACCTAAATCAGCTATACTTACTCTATATACTTAAACAATATAACTATCACAGTAACCTACCTAAAGCAGCTATACTTACTCTATATACTAATCTAACTCTCATCGTTACCTACCTAAATCAGCTATACTTACTCTATATACTTACTCTATCTAACTCTCATCATTACCTACCTAAATCAGCTATACTTACTCTATCTAACTCTCACAGTTACCTACCTAAATCAGCTATACTCTCACTCTATATATACTTACTCTATCTAACTCTCATCAGTTACCTACCTAAATCAGCTATACTTACTCTATATACTTACTCTACTCTCACATTACCTACCTAAATCATACTCTATATTACTCTATCTATACTCTCATCACTTACTCTATCTAACTCTCACAGTTACCTACCTAAATCAGCTATACTTACTCTATATACTTACTCTATCTAACTCTCATCATTACCTACCTAAATCAGCTATACTTACTCTATATACTTACTCTATCTAACTCTCATCATTACCTACCTAAATCAGCTATACTTACTCTATATACTTACTCTATCTAACTCTCATCGTTACCTACCTAAATCAGCTATACTTACTCTATATACTTACTCTAAATCTATCAGTTACCTACCTAAATCAGCTATACTTACTCTATCTAACTCTCAACTCTCACAGTTACCTACCTAAATCAGCTATACAGCTATACTACCTACAGCTATACTACTATATATACTATCTATCTCACATTACCTACCTAAATCAGCTATACTTACTCTATATACTTACTCTATCTAACTCTCATCAGTTACCTACCTAAATCAGTTACCTACCTAAATCATCATATACTATACTTACTCTACTAACTCTCATCATTACTCTATCTAATCAGCTATACTCTCTATATACTTACTCTATCTAACTCTCACAGTTACCTACCTAAATCAGCTATACTTACTCTATATACTTATACTCTCACTACCTAAATCAGCTATACTTACTCTATATACTCTCTCATCATTACCTACCTAAATCAACTATACTTACTCTATATACTTACTCTATCTAACTCTCATCGGTACCTACCTAAATCAGCTATACTTACTCTATATACTTACTCTATCTAACTCTCACAGTTACCTACCTAAATCAGCTATACTTACTCTATCTAACTCTCATCGTTACCTACCTAAATCAGCTATACTTACTCTATATACTTACTCTATCTAACTCTCATCATTACCTACCTAAATCAGCTATACTTACTCTATATACTTACTCTATCTAACTCTCATCATTACCTACCTAAATCAGCTATACTTACTCTATATACTTACTCTATCTAACTCTCATCAGTTACCTACCTAAATCAGCTATACTTACTCTATATACTTACTCTATCTAACTCTCACAGTTACCTACCTAAATCAGCTATACTTACTCTATATACTTACTCTATCTAACTCTCATCATTACCTACCTAAATCAGCTATACTTACTCTATATACTTACTCTATCTAACTCTCATCGTTACCTACCTAAATCAGCTATACTTACTCTATCTAACTCTCACAGTTACCTACCTAAATCAACTATACTTACTCTATCTAACTCTCACAGTTACCTACCTAAATCAGCTATACTTACTCTATATACTTACTCTATATACTTACTCTATCTAACTCTCACAGTTACCTACCTAAATCAGCTATACTTACTCTATCTAACTCTCATCATTACCTACCTAAATCAGCTATACTTACTCTATCTAACTCTCACAGTTACCTACCTAAATCAGCTATACTTACTCTATATACTTACTCTATCTAACTCTCATCGTTACCTACCTAAATCAGCTATACTTACTCTATATACTTACTCATCTATCTACACTACCTAAATCAGTATACTTACTCTATCCTAAACCTACCTAAATCAGCTATACTTACTCTATATACTACTCTATCTCTCTCATCAGTTACCTACCTAAATCAGCTATACTTACTCTATATACTTACTCTATCTAACTCTCATCATTACCTACCTAAATCAGCTATACTTACTCTATATACTTACTCTATCTAACTCTCACAGTTACCTACTAACTCTATCTAACTATACTTAATCAACTATACTATAACTTACTAAATCAGCTATACTTACTCTATTACCTCATCATTACCTACTAAATCAGCTATACTCTCATCGTTACCTACCTAAATCAGCTATACTTACTCTATATACTTACTCTATCTAACTCTCATCATTACCTACCTAAATCAGCTATACTTACTCTATCTGACTCTCACAGTTACCTACCTAAATCAGCTATACTTACTCTATCTAACTCTCACAGTTACCTACCTAAATCAGCTATACTTACTCTATCTAACTGTCATCGTTACCTACCTAAATCAGCTATACTTACTCTATATACTTACTCTATCTAACTCTCACAGTTACCTACCTAAATCAACTATACTTACTCTATATACTATACAGTTACCTACCTAAATCACTATACTTACTCTATATACTTACTTACCTACCTATCTAACTCTCACTCTAGTTCACAGTTACCTACCTAAATCAACTACTATTACCTACTTACTCTATATACAGTTACCTACCTAAATCAGCTATACTTACTAACTCTACTTACCTACCTAAATCTAACTCTCACCTACCTAAATCAGCTATACTTACTACCTATCAGCTATACTAATATACTTACTCTCATCTCACAGTTACCTACCTAAATCAGCTATACTTACTCTATCTAACTCTCACAGTTACCTACCTAAATCAACTATACTTACTCTATCTAACTCTCACAGTTACCTACCTAAATCAGCTATACTTACTCTATATACTTACTCTATCTAACTCTCACAGTTACCTACCTAAATCAGCTATACTTACTCTATATACTTACTCTATCTAACTCTCATCGTTACCTACCTAAATCAACTATACTTACTCTATCTAACTCTCATCGTTACCTACCTAAATCAGCTATACTTACTCTATCTAACTCTCATCGGTACCTACCTAAATCAACTATACTTACTCTATCTAACTCTCATCGTTACCTACCTAAATCAGCTATACTTACTCTATCTAACTCTCACAGTTACCTACCTAAATCAGCTATACTTACTCTAAGTGTAGCTCATAGTTGGCCAAGGGTTTCAGCTCCATAAAAGAACTACCAGCTACTTGGCGAAATGACCAGATCTGTATTATTTAACACAAAATAAACAACAAAATATTATATTATATATACATGAACTGATACTTGTAAATATGTGTATTACCTTCAACAAACTATTATTAAGTGTTTAATAGGACAGTTACTGTTACCGCTGTTCTGAATTCAATATTTTTGTTCAATATTAATAATTGAATTTGATTTATCTTTTAGGGCTCACACACTGACAATAACCTTGCAATCTGGATTGCTACTTTTCCTAATCATTAAATATACTGTATTTATGATGTTAAGAAACAGGTGACATTATGTACACGTACTCTCAGTTCCATATTAAAATCAGACTTTAATGTTTCATCAGAGTGACATATATAACACTTAAATCTTTGAAAGGACACCATTATGTCTACCCAGTAATGAACATGTGTGAATTACCTTGGTTCCATCAACACCCCCTGTGATGAGTTCATCAGTCACTGAGTTGAAGACCATAAACAACACTGACCTCAGTCCAGCACTAACATGACATGTTTCATCAAAATCTCTGTTCAATACCTGTATAACACATAACATGTGTTTATAATGACAGATAAAATCACTCACTGATACACCATCAACAATCACTCACTAATACACCATCTACAATCATATCCTGATAACACTATCTACAATCACATCCTGATACACTGTCTACAATCACATCCTGATACACTGTCTACAATCACATCCTGATACCCCATCTACAATCACATCCTGATACACCATGTACAATCACATCCTGATACACCATGTACAATCACATCCTGATACACCATCTACAATCACACCTTGATACACCATCAACAATCACTCACTAATACACCATCTACAATCACATCCTGATACACTGTCTACAATCACATCCTGATACCCCATCTACAATCACACCTTGATACACCATCAACAATCACTCACTAATACACCATCTACAATCATATCCTGATAACACTATCTACAATCACATCCTGATACACTGTCTACAATCACATCCTGATACACTGTCTACAATCACATCCTGATACCCCATCTACAATCACATCCTGATACACCATGTACAATCACATCCTGATACATCATCTATAATCACATCCTGATACACCATCTATAATCATACCCTGATACACCATCAACAATCACTCACTAATACACCATCTATAATCATATCCTGATAACACTATCTACAATCACATCCTGATACACTGTCTACAATCACATCCTGATACACTGTCTACAATCACATCCTGATACCCCATCTACAATCACATCCTGATACACCATGTACAATCACATCCTGATACCCCATCTACAATCACATCCTGATACACCATGTACAATCACATCCTGATACATCATCTATAATCACAACCTGATACACCATCTACAATCACACCCTGATACACCATCTATAATCACATCCTGATAAACTATCTACAATCACACCCTGATACACTACAATCACACCCTGATACACCATCTACAATCACACACTGATACATTGTCTATAATCACACCCTGATACACCGTCTACAATCACACCTGATACACCATCTATAATCACAACCTGATACACCATCTACAATCACACCCTGATACACCATGTACAATCACACACTGATACACCATCTGCAATCACACCCTGATACACCATCTACAATCACACACTGATACACCATGTACAATCACACCCTGATACACTATCTACAATCACAACCTGATACACTATCTACAATCACACCCTGATACACCATCTACAATCACACCCTGATACACCATCTGCAATCACACCCTGATACACTTTTTACAATCGCACCCTGATACACCATCTACAATCACATCCTGATACACTACAATCACATCCTGATACACCATCTACAATCACATCTTGATACACCATCTACAATCACACCCTGATACACCATCTACAATCACACCCTGATACACCATCTACAATCACACAATTATACACCATGTACAATCACACCCTGATACACCATCTACAATCACATCCTGATACACCATCTACAATCACACCCTGATACACCATCTACAATACACTGTCTACAATATACTAAGACAAAGACTTACCACATGTGTGCCTTTTTTAAATACATGGGCAGTATGTAGTTAATGAGAAACTAAATCAATCAAATATTAGCTTGATTTTTTTTAATCAGCAAAACATTTTCATCATTAATACTTCTTTACCAAACCAATAAATACTAACTATTTAACATAATAATGAAAAATCGAACCTGTGAATGATGATAAAAAAGTATAAATTTTCTTTTTTTAAGACAAATGAAACAAGAGGCCTAATGGGCCTGCAACCATCACCCGATATATACACATACCAGCCAAATATCATGCCTCTAGGCCTCTTAATTCATGGGTAGAAATTGCTTAAAGGCTTTAACAAATTTGACCCTGTGTCTATGAACAAAGGTCAAGGTCATTTCTTTTCGCAAATTTTGTCAAGCTTCATCAAAGGAACATGCCAGCCAAATATCGTGTCTCTAGGCCTTTTTAGTTCATGAATAGAAGTTGTTTAAAGACTTTGATAAATTTGACCCCTGTGACCTGGAAACATACGAGCCAAATATTAAAACATTTGGTCCATTGGTTATTGAGAAGAAGCCATTTAAAGGAAAACATTGATGCCGGATGCCAGACAATGAACACTGTGGCACAGCATAAGCCTTGGGCCTTTGGGCCAGGTGAGCTAAAGAGTAGGCAATATCTTTATACTCAATCCTATTGTTGTTTTAGTAACGTTTATTAAAGTCTGGGATTTCAATGCTAATTGCAGATACTGAAAGACATAAGAATATATAGTATTAAACACATCTAGAACGACATACATGTATTTGTATGGTACCTATAAATAAGTAATAAATAAATGCAGCATTAAAGACTATGAGTAACCTACCTTTAGTGAGAAATCTTTGGACAAGGCAAAGTAGCAGTTATACTTTTTGGCGTAGACAATATATGTCAGAAGTCTGTACTCATACTTAGGATACATCAGATTCCTCATCACTAAAAAAATTGAGTCCAAGAAATAATTTTGAAACTTAACTGTAACATGTAATACAACAACTAAAATGACAACCCTACTACAGCTAGGTAACCAGCCAATCAAATGTTATATGTATACTGACATGTACCACTGTTTATATATAACCTCTGTTATATCTACTGACAAACCCTTGTATATATATACTGACACCTACTCACATTAAATATATACTGACATGTACCACTGTATATATATTACCTCTGTTATATCTACTGACACACCCCTGTATATATATACTGACACCTACTCACATTAAATATATACTGACATGTACCACTGTTTATATATAACCTCTGTTATATCTACTGACAAACCCTTGTATATATATACTGATACCTGACCATATTAAATATATACTGACATGTACCACTGTATATATATTACCTCTGTTATATCTACTGACACACCCCTGTATATATATACTGACACCTACTCACATTAAGTATATACTGACATGTACCACTGTTTATATATAACCTCTGTTATATCTACTGACACACCCTTGTATATATATACTGATACCTGACCATATTAAATATATACTGACATGTACCACTGTTTATATATAACCTCTGTTATATCTACTGACAAACCCTTGTATATATATACTGATACCTGACCATATTAAATATATACTGACATGTACCACTGTATATATATTACCTCTGTTATATCTACTGACACACCCCTGTATATATATACTGACACCTACTCACATTAAATATATACCGACATGTACCACTGTTTATATATAACCTCTGTTATATCTACTGACACACCCATGTATATATACATTGACACCTACCCTGAGGCTTGTTATATAAATGTACACTTAACTTTTATACATAGTGACGTACAACCCTGTCATATACCTACCCATGCTATATATATTTATACCTAACTATTATACATACTGACATCTACCCATATAATATATATTTATACCTATCTATCATATATACTGACATGTTATATATATGACACCTACCCCTGTTATCCACATTGTCTCGTTTCCAAGAAGTAATCCCTTTGCTATCAAGGATGATGAATTGTCTCATTCTGCTGTTGTATGCCACTTTCCAATGATAACATAATATATTAAATTAACTTTCCAATATAAAAGAAAATTCAAAATTCAAAACTACCACACCAAAATGAATAAACTGCATGCCATCCATAAATTTAATTTAACACCAGATAAATGCTATTATTATATTAAATTTTATGTGTAGATTATCTGGAAAACATTGTTAGAAATCAATTTCAAATTTCAAAGAATAAAATTTGAACTCTTCAGCAAAATTAACTTAAATGAACTTCAAATCAAATAAAAGGCACCATGGTTTATTTTTTTCAGTATCTTATCAAATAAGTATCATTTTCAATTGCCTTTAAGCACACATACTCACATCCCATAATGTCTGCATTTTTCTTGCCATGCTCATAAGTAGCTCTAGGCTGTATACCAAAGGGAATACTAGTATAGTGTTCTGATATAAGAATTTGTTTTCCATCACTTTCATCTGTAGCTGCACTAGAGAGTGATGAAGAAGATTCTGTTCTTTCAAGTGTTTTTTCAACCTTTTCCTTTATTTTTTCAAATACTGGATCTTCATGGTCATCTATGAGTGTTTTTTCATCATCATCATCATTATCATCCTCTTCTGCATCAGCTTCATTTCCTTTTTCCTTGTCTATTTCTCGAAGTATTTCCTCAAACTCTTCCCCCTCAGGCACAACAGATAATTGATGTGTTAGAGTCCGTGGTCTAAATTCTGGCTGAAAGCTTACAGATGGAGTACTTTGAATGGGAACAGCTAAATTTTGAATACCTATTTGTTTATTGTCTGTCTCACCACTGCCAGAAAAGGACACATGTTTCTGTCCTGCTGGAGGAACTATCATGTCAGTGGCAACAGCCATCCTCTGTAAAGCAGATATAAAAATATGTATTAAAATAAAGATGAATTTTTGATTCAGGACTTAAGATCCTTAACAGGACTAAACATACATCTGGGTGCCTTGGATAATGGCAGTACAGCTGAAAAAGTACACAGAACAGAAGATATAACATCAGTCTCATGTGTAATCTAATGAAGGTGGCAGATCTATTCTGGTCAGTTCAGTGGTCCAAAATACTGCTCATAAAGAAACAATCCACTATCCTGCAAAATCTTCCAAATAATAGGTTACAAAATGTATCTTCATAAGCAGATTGAGGAGATGGTAAGCCTCAGTAGACAAGAGTTTGTTGACAAGATGATGTAAGCTTCAGTCAACAGGAGTTAGTTGGTGAGATGGTGTAAGCCACAGTAGACAGGAGTTAGTTGGTGAGATGGTGTAAGCCCCAATACATAGGAGTTAGTTGGTGAGATGGTGTATGCTTCAGTAGACAGGAGTTAATTGGTGAGATGGTGTAAGCTTCAGTAGACAGGAGTTAGTTGGTGAGATGGTGTATGCTTCAGTAGACAGGAGTTAGTGGGTGAGATGGTGTAAGCGTCAGTAGACAGGAGTTAGTTGGTGAGATGGTGTAAGCCACAGTAGACAGGAGTTAGCTGGTGAGATGGTGTATGCTTCAGTAGACAGGAGTTAGTGGGTGAGATGGTGTAAGCGTCAGTAGACAGGAGTTAGTTGGTGAGATGGTGTAAGCCCCAGTAGATAGGAGTTAGTTGGTGAGATGGTGTAAGCCACAGTAGACAGGAGTTAGCTGGTGAGATGGTGAGACAGTAGACAGGAGTTAGCTGGTGAGATGGTGTATGCTTCAGTAGACAGGAGTTAGTGGGTGAGATGGTGTAAGCTTCAGTAGACAGGAGTTAGTTGGTGAAATGGTGTAAGCCCCAGTAGACAGGAGTTAGTTGGTGAGATGGTGTATGCTTCAGTAGACAGGAGTTAATTGGTGAGATGGTGTAAGCCACAGTAGACAGGAGTTAGTTGGTGAGATGGTGTAAGCTTCTGTAGACAGGAGTTAGTTGGTGAGATGGTGTAAGCCCCAGTAGACAGGAGTTAGTTGGTGAGATGGTGTATGCTTCAGTAGACAGGAGTTAGTTGGTGAGATGGTGTAAGCCACAGTAGACAGGAGTTAGTTGGTGAGATGGTGTAAGCCTCAATAGACTGGAGAAAATTGGTGAGATGGTGTAAGCTTTAGTAAGAATGCACGGGTGAAAATACGGCCCCACACACAGATGGACAATTCAGTGCTCCTGAAAATTTTCAGGGCACATGAAAATTTAAAAAGAAATAGTGTTTGCAGATTTTGATTGATTTTTTTCACATACAAGTCTTCAGTTTAGCCCTTCAAGAAAAGGCATGCAAAGTGTGTTATGTTATATGATGATCTCTAAACCCAGAAATTTAAAAGAACTTCCGTGATGCAAACATTGCATCACAACTAGATATCTTAGAAAGAACTACTTCCAAATCATGGTTGAATAGAATTTCTTACATCACAACTAGTAGAAGATTAGTGTGTGATGTTTTGAAGACTGCAAAGTCACCTTTATCAGACAAATGACCACTGTGCAATGTACCAGCACTGACATGCATAGTGTACGAGGTGGTACGGAATGGACCTACTTTTTCAGCTGTACTATAATCCTATGTACACTAAGGTAAAAAATAGTGTGACAAGATGTCAATATTGTATGATATCACCATGGTAATTAAACCACCATTACAGTAGTGATATCAGGAATACAATAATGACACTACCATCATAGACATTTCAATCAGGTTGTGTTTGTTGATTTGAGGTTCATATTGGCAGCATTTACACATTTTTTTTAACTCAAAACCGAAATGTAGCAATTGAACTAGTTTTATGTGACGAATTGTACTTCTCCAGAATTGTATACCATATATCAACATTTACATTACGACAATGACACAAGCATTACAGTGATGATTTTATATTTAGAATGGAGATGTGTTGATTTTACATTATATTTGAATAAGAAACATAATATTATCCAAAAATTAAATTGAGTTTAAAGAACAGATGTGTGTAAAAGAGATTGCAAGTGTCCAGAACAACTTTTTTGAAAATAATCAACTTCAAAGTTCATTATTCTATATTATGTTTTATTCTAAATTTTGTTTTTACGATGTTTTTTTTTTCTAACACATTAATCATTTTCAGATTATAACATCAGCATCATACAGAAATGCATTTTTAATAGGGAAAAAAATAACCTAGTAGCATAACAGTAACAACACAATACAGGAGACCCCTTTCGAGAAACAAATATTTGTAAAATTCCTGTTTTGTTCACTTGTTTTCAAATCTGAAAATAAAATAGTTAACAATGTTTCATTTGTACCCTAACTTTTTTTTCTGGAAGGGACCAGTTATGACTTACATTGTTTAACCCATAATGTATATCCAATTCTGTTGGCTAAAGATATTTGATAGCATACCGGAACATATTAATATCTATTTAAATGATAAAGCATGACATTAGTTATTAAATTATATAGCAATCACCACAACCTGCCACACACCATGTGATATCATGTTTCAATTTGCTACGATCAAATGTCTTTGAACACTACCTGTGGATTATTTTGCTACTGTGTATAGACAGAGACGTCAAATAGTACATCGAATGAAAACAGCGCAACATTGGACAGTTGCCGAGACTAATTGACGCTTCCCACACATCTGAAATATCAATATAATTTATATTACAGGCCTGGTGTATCGGCCTGGTGGCTCAAATGATACATTGTGTTTAACTTGTTGACAAAAGTATCGGATTTATAAATATTATGCACTAAGCAACATTCTGATTGGTTCCATAAAAGTAAAATGGAATAAAGGTAAACAATTAACTAATATTCCAAGTTTATCGCTAATCACATCGAGTAAGAAATCGCAAAATGCACCGGATGATCTGGTTTGAACGGAGAACAAGATCTTATCACAATCGTACCAGATAGCATGGATGTGTTGAAATATACAAGAGAACATGGAACCTAATGATACATGTGTTTAACTAAAAGAAAGAAAACATTCACCAGTCCCTCAGTATGTTAAAACAGCTACATGGTAAATTGTCCATAAGTTCGTAACTTCAGCGAGTGCCCGCCATCCGCCATATTTGTTTACGGATAGCAACGATTGTAGCGACGTCTGTATTTGGGAAGGGCAATAACTCGATTCCGATATAAAACGATGTACAGCAAGTATTTCAGTACATCAGAGAGAGACGTATATATCACACGTAACGAAAAAAAAACAAGAAAAAAATGCTTTAAATGTGAACTTATACTCAACATGAAGAATTATTCTTTTCTTCACAAAATCAAAAACAAATAATCTCATAACATCTAAAGTGGCGCAGTGGTAGGCTACATACATATAGCGCATATGGCTTTACATTCACTTACATGTAGACGTCAGGAGTTCAATTCCCTTAAAAAGATTAAAAATGTATTGAGTTATCTGCCCGACCACGTGGGTTTTCCTCATATATTCCGATTTCCTGCCACGTTAACACCCTATCGCACTTCCGTCTGGTGGCAACCAATATGATTAATATAAAAATAAATAGATAACTTTTTTTAAAATTTGTTTTAAATAAAATAAGTGATATTAAAAAACCAAAACAAAACACCTAGGCTAAGTGCTGTATCGGTGTTATATGATGAAGAGACGGTTATATTGGACTCTGCTTACTGCCTAATTCCTGTTATACATGTAAATTTCATGTTCTGAAAGACCTCACACACTTTTCACTTTGTCGGAAACAAGGGAAGACCAAAGGCATGCTACGTGACGTTCTGTTAGATATTTACTTCCAATTTTTCACTAAAGCGATTAGATGATCATGCCAACTCATTTTCCAAGTGGTGATAGTATTAATCTCATTAATTATAGCACAACACGTTGTAATAATATCACTATAAATGGATACGTGTTATCACCACAATGAATAAATAATACTGCCAATTCAAAATACACTGATATCAACATAATGATATCATTTTCATGTTTCATAAAGCTTTCATTGACGTAAAACGATCATGTTGGAGATGACTGTCATCAATACACTATGTCACATTGAATCGGAGAAATCACCAGAGTGTCGTGAACTGGTTGTCACGATACGGGGAACAACACAGGCCATGTGACAACGCGGTAAAACAGGCCTACGGACAACGGAATATAACACAGGCCAACTGACATCGGAAAACAATGCAGGCCAGCGGACAACGGGGAACAACACAGGCCATGTGACAACGGGGAAAAAACAGGCCTACGGACAACGAGAAACAAAATAGGCCAACGGACAACGGGAAACAACACAGACCAACAGACAACGAGGAACAAAGCAGGCCAACGGACAACGAGAAATAACACAGACTAACAGACACCGGAAAACAATACAGGCCAGCGGACAACGGGAAACAACACAGGCAAACGGACAACGGGAAATAACACAGGCCAACTGACATCGGTACATGATACGCCCGTCATAGACTGAATGAACATTTTACATCAAGAAAGAGAGGGGAAAGTGATGTTTAATGTCTGATCAACACATGAAGGTCATTTACAGACAGTGTCAGTTGTGTACTGACGGAGTAAATCGGAGTAAACCACCAAGCGTCAATGGCGATAACACTCCGAGATGATTTGTGAATAAGACTCAAGTTATTGTTCCATCAATATTACAAATGCCATTATTCAATAAATGACAGGCGAATAATTTTGGTTGTCAAACTTGTCTGAGTTATGACGATAATGAATCTCCCTATGAAGTTTTGAGTGTATTTATAATAAATGAAGTTTGAATTTGATCCGATGAAAACTAATCGAGATATCGAGCGACACTGTTATGATAATTGAATGAAGGGCCATACCTCTGTGAATTACAGTTGAAAAAAATGCGGTTATCGAACTTGTACGTGTGATCATGGTAATA